ATGAATTCTTAATTGTCCAAGTTTCCTAGTCTCCCAAGTCCAAATTTGCAAATCTCTAAATTCTGAAAATCCCTTTCCATATTTCCAACTTCTTGAGTTAGCAAATTCTCACATTTCCAATTTCTTAAATTACCAAGTCCCCACATTTCAAATTCCTAAGTCTCCAAATTCTTAAACTACCAAATTTCCCAATCCCCAAATTCATAATTGTCTAAATTCCCAAAACTCCAAATTCTGAAACTCCCTTTCCATATTCCCGACTTCTCAAATCCCAAAATTCTCACATTTGCAACTTCTTAAATTACCAAATCTCTACATTTTCAAATTCCTAATTCCCCAAATTCTTAACCTGTCAAATTTCCCAATCCCCAAATTCATAATTGTCTAAATTCCCAAAACTCCAAATTCTGAAACTCCCTTTCCATATTCCCAACTTCTCAAATCCCTAAATTCTCACATTTCCAACTTCTTAAACTACGAAATCTCCACATTTCCAAATTCCTAATTCCCCAAATTCTAAAACTGTCAAATTTTCCAATCCCCAAATCTCACATTTGCAACTTCTCAATCCACCAAACTCTCACATTTAATGCGAAAATCCCTAAATTCCCAAATCTATCCAAGTATTCAAAAACCGAAAGTCCTCGACAAATTTCCAAATCGTCAAAACTTGAGTATGCCTCGTGCGGCCGCCATTTTGTCCAGCGTTACCCAGCATGCACCACCGCAAAATGGAGCGAATACCACGGAAATACTCCGTACTTAATTCGTTGTATTAATATGTAACGTAAGAAGGATATCAGTTATGAAACGATTCAATAAAGCCCGCAGAGCCATAAAATAAGAGCCGTATATTTCCATGAAATTCAGCGCGAAATTGGAGGCCGACGGAGTCTGTGCGACAAGACAGGAATCACCTGAGGGTATCGTTAAAGATTCAAGGGAATTATTAGACGAACTCTCGTCCCCGCGTATCATCTCGCATTTTTCCTCGAGTGGAAGCATTTTGTTCCCTTCCGTTTCCTTTTTTTTCTGTTTCTCTTTTACGAGGCCGTACTCCGTAAATTATCGTGCGAGAGGGAGAAATAAAGGCAGAAATTGACTGACACAGTTCGGAATGTTAATATCGCGAGCAGAGATTAACGAGAAATAACATTGTTATCGCGCAAACGTGACTTGTCAAACGGTTTCCGGTTCTTTCTCCCTCGCCACCGTAATCGTTGCACCGACAGCTTAATGACAAACGAGGTTATCCCGTTGGCCGAGCAACGTTTCGCGTTTTCCGTTTGTTTTTCGTGTTAATTAGACGAGGAAACGACCCGCCAGGAAATCTTTTTTATATGGTATCCACGAAAATGTTGCGCCCCTAATGAACGCGGCTTACAAAAGAACGTCGATTTAATTTCCACGTTGGATACCGAGGGTCACGTTAAAAATTATACGCGTGACAAAAAGAGAAATACAAAAATACTGCATTACCTGGCGGGTTTATTATGACCAGTTTAGTTTCTTAATTTAGGACAAACTTTTTCTTTAATAAATCCACCCCGGTTTTATGCCTGCTTTATGATTACGTGAAATATAGGGGTGCGGATGCGGAGGAGCATAAGAAAATTGTATTGTAGGGTATAAGTGCATAGGAGCATAAGAAAATAGGGCTATAAAGATGTGGAGATGGTAGGGATTTGGGGGTAAGGATGTAAATATCTTGAAATGTAATGTAGTGACATAGGGATGTAGGAATATAGAGCTGTAGCAATGTATAGACACAAGGATTTAGAGATATGTGAGTATGTGGGGATCCCACGATATATGTATACAAAGATATAGCAATATATAGAGATGAGTTTCGAAATTTAATTAAATAGGGATGTAGAGATTTCAGGACAGTCGTAACATTTTCTCGGTCAGTTAACGAAACAATTTATTACATATCACATATACGAAACAGTGAAATCGTAAAAGCTAAATTTCGACCATCTGTTTCTCCCTTTAACATTTGATGTCTAATGGCTTTTATCTCTCAGCAATACTTGAATGCTTAAAAGTATCGATGGATTCTGATCTCCAGTCCTACAAGTTGTAGCACCATTGTGTTAATGCATCTCCGGTTGACTAAAAGTGCATTCACAATGGAACTTCTTAAAATGTCACTTTATTCACCGATTCTGACAGAAACTTCAGATACAATTCCCACTGACGTATTTCTGCAATTAAACATTCAATTTATTGAATCCAATTTTGCTTACAAATGTAATTAACGTCACTCGCGTGTATCGATTGCAAATTGACATTGAATTGTAGACATCTATTAATTCTTAAGCAATCGTCGCTGATACAAAATCGAGTGACACTGACAGGAGGATAATTAAATTTCCTCTATCAAATGTCCTGGGTCTTATTTCCTCTGGGCTTGTCACGGTTTCATTTACCTTCTCTTTTATTGCAAACGTGACGGACCCTACGTGGAGAGACTTCTTCAAAAACCACCCTTTGACAGCACTAAAATTTGCAGCTTGACTATCAATTTTTTGGGGACCTTTTTAATAAAAATCTCCCTTATAGCTTCACTATAAATGTTTGTCTCTATAAAAGCTTCACTATAGATTTTTATAAAACACCATGCAGTCGTATTTCTATGACAAACTAGCCCTTGTTAAAGTAAAATCGATGTGAAACAACAGGTTGGACACAAACGAAGACTCGTAGCAATTTTCAACCCCATTACTGGCCCTCGGTAAATCTAATGCGGAAAACAGGAATTGAAGAACGTGGGGTAGAGAAAGATATAAGTCAATGTTGAGGTTATATCTGGGTCAATGGCGTTGGTCATATGCCTGTCTATTATTTTGTAGCAGCAGAGCACGTGACGGGTTGCGATAAATTGCGAGTCATGTCAACAATGTTGTACCTTGACCTCTGCGTGTTTACACAGAGTACATCATCATTATCTACTGTAACAGTGTAACAGATATAAAGATTCCAAGGTAAAATATTATTGCAAATTAGGATTTATGTTGACGAATGTTATATTCATTTATTTGAGACGTTTGAAATATGGAAATTATTTGGACATTATAGAATATTATTAGAACATTGTGACAGATATATAACATTTAATATTTAAACATCTAACATGTTAGATATTTAACATGTAATGTTACATTCATTTATTTGAGACGTTTCAAATATGGAAATTATTTAGACATTATAGAACATTGTTAGAACATTGTGATAGATATATAACATTAAATATTTAGACATCTAACATGTTAGATATTTAACGTGTAATGTTATGTTCATTTATTTGAGACGTTTTAAATATGGAAATTATTTAGACATTATAGAACATTGTTAGAACATTGTGACAAATATATAACATTAAATATTTAGACATCTAACATGTTAGATATTTAACCTGTAATGTTATGTTCATTTATTTGAGACGTTTCAAATATGGAAATTATTTGGACATTACAGAACATTATTAGAACACTGTAACAGATATATAACATTAAATATTTAGACGTCTAACATGTTAGATATTTAACATTAAAAATTTAAACAAATTGTAACAAAATATAAATGTCATAATTCAGTTTCGTTATAGCGTTGTTCAGATTAAATTTTTAACGTGTAAAAATGTTTCATACGAAAATAATTAACGGAGATAGAATTTCTTTCGCATCGGTTGACGCGTGTCTCGTTAAGGGATGGTGTAATCTGAAATAGTTTCAGTCCGTGTATTATTAAAAATGACAAAATGTGAAGCATTCTACGTGCAATATAAATGAGAAATATTAATAAATAAAAAAATACTGAAATATGTTACATTATATTTTTCAATCCGTTTCAAAAATTGTCTGACGTCTCAAATTTTTAGAGTAATTTCGACGTGATTAGAATTCGAATCTGTTCCCATCGATTTTGTATTAAGAGCGTGTTAATTGAAGTTCGAAATAAAAATAAGAAGACCATTCGTAGGACAATACGAGCGGCAAACTGGATGAGGGACCTTAAATGGAAAAGTACGTGTTTAAATGGAGGGAGTCCCTCGAAGGGATTGCAATCTGAACAACAGCGGCGGATAAAAAGAGAAATCGAAGAATGTCCCTTTAGGTATATAGATCCCTCGAGCGAAACGAGATGATGGGACCTTTTTAATAAAAATCTCCCTTCGTCGATTTTGAATCGCAAATCAACGAGGGAAATATTTTAATTCCCCTCCGGTAGACATACGAGCCCCGCTATCGATTTCCGTTTACGTTGAATACTTTTATGGTGTGTTGACCGTGACGAGAGAATTAATATAATTTGAGAAATTGTCAGCATGCAAATTTTCGTGATAAAATAGCTTGGCACGTTTATCGTGATCATCAGTTCATGTATAATTCAGAGATAATTCGAGTGAAAGTTATTATACTTGAAGAGGAAATTATGGGGGTGAAAACTACATCAGATTATGTCTTCTATGAATTCGCAATGAACTCAGTTTCTGGAACTTTGGAATTTTCGGACTTTCCGACTTTAGGATGAAATCTCACTTAAGTCATGGAAAAAGTCATACTGCATACAGAACTATTTCCAACTGCGTTTCGAATTCAAATCTTATTTCTTCGAAAACATTCGTATTCTTCCTACAATTAAATATGAAACGTTTCTTCAAACACGTTACAAATTTATTTGTAACAAAATGAAGTATATTTATTGTAACACGACGCAAACATGTATTTCCTTTTCATATTGGAAAATAAAAATCACAATGTACTGCAATTGAGAGAATAAATTTAAAGAAAGCTTGTTTTATTGCAGGCCTTTGAAGAGCTAAAAGAACTATTAGGAAAGCTATTAGGAAAACTATTAGAAAAAGAAATACAGGAAATGAAATATATTAATTGTAACACAATAGAAACATGTATTTTCTTATCATATTAGGAAATAAAAATCACAATGTACCATAATTGAGAGAATAAATTTAAAGAAAGCTTGTTTTATTGCAGGCCTTTGAAGAGCTGGAAGAACTATTAGGAAAGCACGACATATGCATAGCGATCAAGGAGAAGCTGGTGAAAGATTCTGGCGTGGCTGAAGAAACTGCGTACGATAATATTGTGTTAAAATTATTAACAAAGCCCAGAGCAAGAGGTGAGCACATTTTAGCAATAAACTTGTAAAATAATCTTCCACGTCGCTGACTAAATAATATTCTTACGTAACCCAAAGCAAATTTCAACGTTTTCTTACGTGCAGAGTATACGTTTCATTTTCATGGAACTGTGACTACATAATCTTACTGCAAATAAATAAAAAGTTTCATAAAAATGTACATCTTCGTTAATCATACGGGTCTAATAGTACAAATAATATAAGAATATTCATAGTAAAATATTAAATTAAAAATTCAATTTGATTTGATTTGTTGACAGACTAATTTTCATATTATTTTCATATTATAGTACTAATAATAAAAATAATATGACAATATTCATAGTAAAATATTAAATTAAAAATTCAATTTGATTTGATTTGTTGACAGATCAATTTTTATTTTATTTTCACAACGGAAATTATAATAAATTTCGACGATTATTTCCAACATAAAATGCATAACTATAATTTCATTTTAATCGAAAAATGCAAATTTCTAAGGCAATTTAAAATATATATATCAAAATAAAATGGGTAACAGAAAGGCAGCAAAGAAAATATCTGCAAAAACGTGCAAGTAAAAAGTGCAAATAAATGGCGGAAATTTTCCATCTTTAACGGTCGAGTAGAGAATAAATCACGGAAATAAATTAGAGATTCGCTGGCAAACAACCACGAGATCGTGAGATCCACTTACAAATACCTCTTGCAAACGCAGTACTCGATAGCAACGAGTTGTGCATTGAGAATCTCGCGACTATCGATTTGCGCCCTGCAATCGAGTCTTACAATACCCAGATGCTTGCGAATAGCTCGTCAGATACGAGGAAATTGAACATTGTTAATAATTCACCTTTTTAATTTAAAACATTCGGTGCTATTCTTATTTATTACGAGCTGCTTTCAGTACGTACATATGCACGGAATTGAATAGTATTGGGAGGTTTATTAATGGCACGGTCGGTGTTCGCATGCTAGGTATCGACACGCTCGCTATGTATCCGCTAGGTATTAGAGTGCCATTGCAACACTTCGAAGTTTTCGAATTTTAAGGACTCTAAATTTAGTAGTTCTGTTGTGTTAAAGTTCAAAAGTTACAAACTTTCAAAATTCTGATGTCATAAAATTTTACAATCTCAGTTTCATAATTCTGAAATTGTAAGCAAGTTTTTGAAATATAAAAACTTTTAAATTTTAATGCTCTAGAGTTCTAGTATCTCCAAAACTACAAAATACCGTAATCTAAAACCCTAAAGTTTTAAAACTGTAAAATCCCACAAATTGATTTGCGCCCTGCAATCGAGTCTTACAATACCCAGATGCTTGCGAATAGCTCGTCAGATACGAGGAAATTGAACATTGTTAATAATTCACCTTTTTAATTTAAAACATTCGGTGCTATTCTTATTTATTACGAGCTGCTTTCAGTACGTACATATGCACGGAATTGAATAGTATTGGGAGGTTTATTAATGGCACGGTCGGTGTTCGCATGCTAGGTATCGACACGCTCGCTATGTATCCGCTAGGTATTAGAGTGCCATTGCAACACTTCGAAGTTTTCGAATTTTAAGGACTCTAAATTTAGTAGTTCTGTTGTGTTAAAGTTCAAAAGTTACAAACTTTCAAAATTCTGATGTCATAAAATTTTACAATCTCAGTTTCATAATTCTGAAATTGTAAGCAAGTTTTTGAAATATAAAAACTTTTAAATTTTAATGCTCTAGAGTTCTAGTATCTCCAAAACTACAAAATACCGTAATCTAAAACCCTAAAGTTTTAAAACTGTAAAATCCCACAAATTCTCAAATCTCAGAGCTGTAAAATTCCAAAACCTTCAAATCTCAGAGCTGTAAAATCCCAAAACCCCCTAATCTCAGAGCTGTAAAATCGCAAAACCCTCAAACCTCAGAGCTGTAAAATCCCAAAACCCCCTAATCTCAGAGGTGTAAAATCCAAAAATTTTAATCTCAAAATCCCAAAATCTCCAAATCCTAAAAATCCCAAAAGCCTAAACTTTCAAACTCCCAAAATCCCAAAAGCCTAAAGTCTCAGATCTGTAAACTTCTAAACCTGCAAAGACTGAAACTCCCTAAGTCCCAAAACTCCAAACCCTACCACAAACATATCAAACATTTTTTGAACTTTTTAAAAAATACGAACGCACACTTTCACGCGGAACACCATCAAACAGAAACTTCTGGATGGCACAGAAATGTAGCATGTTTGAAACTTCAATAGAACGTTGCCAGAAATATGCAAACGCCTGTTACACATCGATGGAGCGTTTCAGAGACTCTCGACTGTCCCATTCACTGTATACATACACTACCTCTCGATACTCTCTCAAAATATTACTTGAAATACAAAAAAAAACATACGAGCAGTCAGAAAAAAACGTGCCGATTTACCAACGCGTATTTTTATTCGTTGCGTGAGTGATGAAAGAGTAACATTTAGAATGTGTATCTTGAGACCAATTTGTTGTATCAATAAACGCGTCAAATGAAATATGTAGCTCTTTGGGACACTCACTGGATATCATTTGATCTTTCTTGTTTTCTTCTGAAATATCAAACTGCTTGAGAATATTTGACTTTCAGATTTTTCAAAATCTGAATACCTTTTTGATCAAACCATTATATGTAATGTTACACTTTAAGGTGTAAATGTAAAAAGCTGTAATGAAGTAACTGTAAGTCAATCTTAAACTTCAAGGTGTAAATGTAAAAAGCTATAATGAAGTAACTGTAAGTTAATCTTAAACCAAGAATAAAATATGTATTTTCAAAATGTCTAACAATAGGATAACGAAAACAATTTTGCGCTCAGTTGAATTTTGAAGAAACGTTGTAAAAACTTTATTCAAGATAGAACCTGAAAATTCGTCTTAACAGTATAATTTTAAGGTTTGTTTAACGAGAGTTACAAAGTACGGTTATATCAAAGGTAAATTCTTGGTGTGTACAATTGATTATAAAGGCGGTAAAGAAAGCGTGTTTTCGGAATGAAACGAGTATCTCCCCGAGCGAGCATAATTCGAAGGGAATGGTCGGAATCACCGTTTTTTCATGCCAAAGTCTTTTTATCTCTCGATACCCTGGTGCCCCGCTATCAGAAAAAGCTTCAAGGAGTCCGTTGGACAGATACGAGAAGCGCGATATTTCATCGACCTTTCAAGTTTGCAGTTACTTCAGACAAAACTAGCACCTAGAGAATCACTGGTTTCCACTCTCGAGAAACGGAAGCGTACGTTTAAGACGGTCGAGCTTTAAAAATAAAGCTCCAGGTCCGATAAGAACGATCGTCTTAGTGGCCAGTCGAAATTACTCGTTCAGCAAACGGGAACAAAACGAGACGAAAGAGGGTAACCTTCGGGTGGTGTTTTATGAAGAAAACGTCAAGAGTTGAACTTGTAACCTTAGAAAGACTATTAATCTCCTCATCCCCGTTTAAATAGAGCACAGTTGACACGAGGTAGACAATGGTATTGTCACAGTCTTTGTTTCAAGAAAGAAGTCCTCGTGTTCCCGTGAAATTATTACGCGTTAGATCGTCCACTTTTGTGTTCGATAAGTAGACTCACCGAGCGTACAGTTTTCTTTGCATGCAAATTGAACCGTGTTCCTCTTTTATACCTCCATTTTTCTTTCGTATTCTAGACCGTACATTTTATACGCCAGGTCCTGATGAAGTCCCGTAATCTACCTTTTCGAAGGAATAAACCACTATGAGTGCTTTTATGAGCGCTTCATGGAAAGGTCGAGTAGGTTTTTGGACAGTGTTAAATCTTTATAGTGGGTCTGTGATATTCGATTTAACCGATTTATTGATATTCGTGACTTTAGTAAGTGGTTTTGGTAGCGTTTGACAGTTTCAGACTTTGCAATTTTAGAATTTTGGAGATTGGGAGCTTTGATACTTTGTTATTTTTGACTTTGGAAGGTTTTAGAGAATTTGGAAGGTTTGAGTTTGCAAGTGGACACTTTGGAGCTTTGATGTTTAGAAAGCTTGAGATTTTGGGACTCTAACATTTTAGGGTTTTTAAATTTTTTAACTTTGATACATTGAAACACTTTGGAGCTTGAGGACTTTGGAATTTGGTCATTTTGAAACTTGAAAATACTAGATTTTTGAAATTCTGAGACTTGATGACTTTAAATATTTGACACTTTGAGGCTTGAGAACTTTGGAACTTGGACACTTTGAAACTCAAAAACGTTAGGTCTTTGAAATTTTGAGACTTGATGACTTTAAACATTTGAGACTTTGAAACTTGAGGACTTTTTAAGTAAAAATTTTTTAACACATTTTTGAAACGTTACTTCATAATTTTTTAACTACAATATTTAAAAATTTTCAAGCTTTAATATCCTCATAATTTCAAAACTCCTTAATTTTTTAATTTCCCCAATTTTTTTTATCCTAATCAACGTTCTCAAACATCAGAATTCTTCAAATTAATAAAACACTACTTACAAGTTCTACTTTCACCATGTCCTCTCCACATTAATTATGCAACTCCTTTCATAACACTTCATAAAAAAAAACACCACCGTAACGTTACACAAGTAACCTTAAACTTACACCCTTAACTACAGCGTTTCAGTTCAAAGAATCATGAACTCGTTTTCTACGAGAAATTAATTAAGACGCCTGAGTCTTTATATCCCGGCGAGAGATAGCATTAAAAACAATAAAAGAAAGTGCAGAACAATTGCATTAAATTAAATTCCATCCCTCTGGCAAAGATTCCACTGTTCTGTGTACCTTTAGATTCCAAGCAACAATGAAGTTTCTTCTTGTGAACTATACACTGCTGTCGAGTTTGACCCTTCGGATCGTTTTAAAGCTTTAAATACTGAAAACGAGGGAGTTTACGATATCCGCGAAGTAAATGAAACGCAACATTGCTTTGTGCACGATGTAACTTTTTACCGGTCGGAAATTAGACGAGGAAATGTAATTGTCAGATTTAAATAGTTATTTCTGTACTGAGAAGTTGCGATGTTTCTCTGTAAAATGTATCAAAAAGGAACTTCGTTTGAAAATTTATTATTTCGTTCATTTTAATTTGTATGATTTTTAGGATTGAATAATGGAGTCACGTGGGGGGTGAAATTTTAGGGGTTTTGAGAATTTCAAGATTTAGGGATTTAAGGATTTAGGAATTTAGAATTTGAAGATATTTTAGGGATTTAGGGAATTGTGGGTTTTAAAGATTGAGGGTTTTAAGAATATATATTTTTTTAATTGAATAATGTGTCACATGGGGATTTGAATTTTTGAATTTAGAATTTTGAAGCTGTTTTAGGGATTTAGAGATTAAAAAATGGTTTTGGGAATTGAAGCTTTTAGGAACATGTATTTTTGAAGATTTAAAGGCATGGAAATTTGAAGATTCATAAACTTGAACATTAAATATGGAACTTAAATGACAAGTTAACTCAATAAGGATTGCAACCAAAGTAAAACCAACGAAGCCAAAATTATGAAAGCATAATACAAGTTCTACTATTTCTCTGTTCAGGATGTATCATATTCGGATCGGATCAAGAAGTTGCCGGAGTTATGAGAGCAGTTAGACGTTGCAATGCAACCGGTGCGTTTTCGTGGATCGGCAGCGACGGATGGAGCGCCAGGGGGTTAGTTAGTAACGGTAACGAGCCAGAAGTTGAGGGTACACTATCAGTTCAACCTCAAGCCAATCCTGTCAAGGGTTTTGAAGAGTACTTTCTGAATTTGACCGTGGAGAATAACCGAAGGAATCCGTGGTTCGTTGGTAAGCGAATGACTAAAACACTCGAGCTCTTCAACTTTGCCAATCTGAACTTCTCCGAGCACCAACGGCATCGGCTTATCCCAAAATTTCATTAAAAACAACCACTTCTCGTACGAGAAAAAATAGACCTAACAATTTCATCTTCCCAGAAAATGTGGGAAAAGTTACGGTAATTTTCTTTGGGAGTATCAGAAACTTAGATTTGTTTTATGATGTTGGTTTAATAAAAGAAAATTGAAGTAGAAGTTGGCTGATTATGTAAGATATTCATATAGTAATATTAAAAGAAATTAAATGGTCATGTTTTTAAGAGTATATATTTTTTAATTATACAGGCTGCTTCACAAATGGTGCTGCAATTACAAGGATAAGTCTATGTCTTTTGATAATGAATATAAGAACTTCAACGTCTTAAAAAAATTAAAAAACGATCAAGTTTTCAAGAGTACATATTTTTTTAATTATATAGGCTGCTTCACAAGTGGTGCTTCACAAGGATAATTCTATGTCTTTTGATAATGAATATAAGAACTTCAACACCTTAAAAAAATTAAATGACGATCAAGTTTTCTATAGTATATTTTTCTTAATTATACAGGCTGCTTCATAAATAGTACTGCAAACACGAGGAGAATAATTCTATGTCTTTTGACAATGAATATAACAACTGCAACATCTTAAAAAAATTAAATGACTATCAAGTTTCCTATAGTATATATATTTTTTAATTATACAGGCTGCTTCACAATTAGTGCTTCAATCACAAGGATAATTCTGTCTTTTGATAAAGAATATAACAACTGCAACATCTTAAAAAAATTAAATGACTATCAAGTTTCCTATAGTATATATATTTTTTAATTATACAGGCTGCTTCACAATTAGTGCTTCAATCACAAGGATAATTCTGTCTTTTGATAAAGAATATAACAACTGCAACATCTTAAAAAAATTAAATGACTATCAAGTTTCCTATAGTATATATATTTTTTAATTATACAGGCTGCTTCACAATTAGTGCTTCAATCACAAGGATAATTCTGTCTTTTGATAAAGAATATAACAACTGCAACATCTTAAAAAAATTAAATGACTATCAAGTTTCCTATAGTATATATATTTTTTAATTATACAGGCTGCTTCACAATTAGTGCTTCAATCACAAGGATAATTCTGTCTTTTGATAAAGAATATAACAACTGCAACATCTTAAAAAAATTAAATGACTATCAAGTTTCCTATAGTATATATATTTTTTAATTATACAGGCTGCTTCACAATTAGTGCTTCAATCACAAGGATAATTCTGTCTTTTGATAAAGAATATAACAACTGCAACATCTTAAAAAAATTAAATGACTATCAAGTTTCCTATAGTATATATATTTTTTAATTATACAGGCTGCTTCACAATTAGTGCTTCAATCACAAGGATAATTCTGTCTTTTGATAAAGAATATAACAACTGCAACATCTTAAAAAAATTAAATGACTATCAAGTTTCCTATAGTATATATATTTTTTAATTATACAGGCTGCTTCACAATTAGTGCTTCAATCACAAGGATAATTCTGTCTTTTGATAAAGAATATAACAACTGCAACATCTTAAAAAAATTAAATGACTATCAAGTTTCCTATAGTATATATATTTTTTAATCTATGTCTTTTGATAATGAATATAAGAACTTCAACACCTTAAAAAAATTAAATGACGATCAAGTTTTCTATAGTATATTTTTCTTAATTATACAGGCTGCTTCATAAATAGTACTGCAAACACGAGGAGAATAATTCTATGTCTTTTGACAATGAATATAACAACTGCAACATCTTAAAAAAATTAAATAATGATCAAGTTTTCTATAGTATATTTTTCTTAATTATACAGGCTGCTTCATAAATAGTACTGCAAACACGAGGAGAATAATTCTATGTCTTTTGACAATGAATATAACAACTGCAACATCTTAAAAAAATTAAATGACTATCAAGTTTCCTATAGTATATATATTTTTTAATTATACAGGCTGCTTCACAATTAGTGCTTCAATCACAAGGATAATTCTGTCTTTTGATAAAGAATATAACAACTGCAACATCTTAAAAAAATTAAATAATGATCAAGTTTTCTATAGTATATTTTATTTAATTATACAGGCTGCTGCACAAGTGGTGCTGCAATCACAAAGAGAATAATTCTATGTCTTTTAGCAAAAAATATATGAACGTCAACACCTTTTTTATTATCTCAGAAATAAATGAACCTTATAAACCTCTAAATTCAAGTACCAATAATGAACAAACCAGTCCAGTTTGAAAATCAGTGCCCTACAAAAATGAACACAACCACCATAAATAATTAACCATAAAATTTACAGAATTCTGGGAGGACCACTTCCAATGTAGATACCCAAACGCATCCAGGACCCCATACAACCAGAAGTACACGAAACCGTGCACTACAAAGGAACGTTTAACGAAACAGAACACCGCGTTCGAGGATCAGCTGCAATTCGTGTCGGATGCAGTAATGGCATTCGCTTACGCGTTTCGGTATGTCATAAATTCGCCATCGACTTAGCAAAGTATTCATGACGATTTGGTTCTCAGAGACATGCACCGGGACCTCTGCCACGGTAAACCGGGACTCTGCGACGCGATGAAGCCGACCAAGGGCACGGAGCTGCTGAAATATTTGAGGAAAGTGGATTTCGAAGGTAAAGTGTAGGCGAATAAAGTCGTAAAACGTGGATTTATTCGAGTGGAAATTTAAAGGTCTGAGCGGTGACAAGTTCAAGTTCGACAAAAACGGAGACGGTCCGGCCAGGTACAACATCATCCACTTCAAGCAAATAGAGCCGGGCAAGTATAAATGGATACGAGTCGGTAAATACCTGGAGGGTGAATTACGGCTGAATATGTCCGGTAAGCTGTTGGACCAATAAGAGACGGTTTTTCATAAAATCGGACGTCACCTACTCGCATATTCCTTGCAGAAATCCAATTTAAACTTGGACATCCTCAGCCGCCCGAAAGTGTGTGCTCTCTGCCCTGCGAGGTCGGCCAAGCAAAGAAATACGTGGAGGGCGAACGGTGCTGTTGGCACTGCTTCAACTGCACTCAATATCAGGTTTGTGATCGCGTTCGAACACCTATCCGAGAATATTTCTCGGACATACTTTCTTCTTTCGTCCTTTGGTTCTTTTCGTATTACCAATATTTTATGGAACAACGCGGTTTCTTATTAAATTATCGTAGAGATATTGCTCTTTATTGGACGAGCGAAGTCGAAATAATATTACGACTTCGTGACAATTTTTCTGAAATAATTCGTGCAGAGGTACACTATTTTTCTACGTTCACGATGGAATAATTTAGTGACATGGGTTCCGGAGTTTTTTGGTAAATTATACAGAGTTGGGTTTTCATCAACCACCTAAAAATCTTGAGTATAGAGGTTTATGAACTCATTGATAAAATATGTTTCTTCTTGACAGCAAATGTTTCTTGAATAAGGTTTATAAGTTTGAAACATGTTTTCCGTAGATACGACATCCGAAAGACGAAACCCAGTGCATTCCTTGCCGCCAAGGCACCGTACCAGACGAAACACATTCTACTTGTCGTGATATCCCCGAGGAATTTCTGCGACCAGAAAGTGGTTGGGCAATAGGAGCAATGTCTTTCTCCGCTGTGGGAATTATGGTAAATATTGCACAACTCAATAAATAGAAACGCAGAAAAGAAAACTAAAGAAAGACCATTTCTACCGTTGCATACGCTAACGATCATAGATTACATAAATTACACGTACTCTGCAGACTTCCATATATCATAAATATCCAGAGCCCAGTAATTATGGTACATAATAGCTATTTACAAGTTGCAAATGCGATAGAAATGATGAGATATGCAGTTTAAAAGAGGAAGATAGTTTGTTTATGAGAACAAGAAAAGTATGTTGGCAATTAACGTAGAATATTCGCTACACGCCACTTTTCCTCGAAATAGGCACATTGCAACCTGTAATAAGGTACACTATACTCGCGATGAAACGATTATGACTTAACGACTTAATGATCGCGTAATAATTTCGACCGTGAAACAGAAAATCACCCTCGACAAGTGGCAAAATTGCTTGCTACCGAAAGCATTATCGATTTTAGTTTCGCAACTTGAATCACAGAAACGAATGTTCTTTTCTGAAATATTCATAATTATTTGCGGTGAAGTGTTAATCAATTGGACAAACTTTTTGATTTATTTTGTTAGGTCAAGAGTTGACTTTCTGCAAGACGTATGTTTAGTGAAATACTGATGATGACATTTACAGTGACTTTGAGACGACATTTTTGCTAGTTTTCACCCTTGGAAACAATTCAGATTTTTCACTGAAATAATCATGATTTCTATTGAAAATTGCACATGAAACACCCTGTATGACATGAAACACCCTGACATCATAAAATCAAATAACAAAGAAATGACTACATCAGATTTCTAAAGTCTTTGACAAAAATGAAACTAGGTCAATAAAGAACTAAGTTGTAGCTCGAATTAAATAGTGAAGCACCGAAGCCAATAAATTGTTAAAGTAACGCTACATAAATATTAATATTTGTGAAATAGATAACGCTGTTCGTGTGTGGGGTGTTTCTGAAACACAACGACACCCCGGTAGTCCGTGCATCCGGTCGCGAATTGTCGTACGTCCTGTTGTCCGGGATTCTGCTCTGTTATCTCGTTACGTTTGCCCTGGTGCTGAGACCAACGGACATCGTTTGCGGTATTCAAAGGTAAGAGATGAAAGGCATGCAACATGGTGTCCGGCCATTTTTCTTTGGCAAGAGTTGCACACAAGAGTTGTCGAGGGGTCGCCGAGGAAAATCCAATTTCACCGCGAAACGAGACGACCCCAGACTGCGAGGATATTAAGTGGTAACACAGTGCATGATCGATCGACGTAAAGCTGATAAAGTCGGGGACGAAATTTCATCGGAAAGTGAATTACGGCCGATTCAATTGCAGGGAATCAAAAGAAGAATATAAAGCGGAACAGCGAATCCATTAGACGTAACGTTGCACCTGCTTTCAATCTCTTAAACGTCCACGTATTTTGTATCGACGTGTTTCTATTTTCTCTACCGGATGATTCTAAAACGAACGTCGTAAAATATGCTAGTGTATTCTACGAATCGATTCTGGGAAATAAGCTACTGTTAAATATGAATGAAACGGTGCACTTTTTGCTTCATTTATATATTGCTACTTTTAGTGCAACGTCATGAGGCATGTAGCTGTTCTTGATAAATATGAATGAAGATACTTTTTGTTTTAGGAAGTTCATTGTAGACTTTAGGGTGTACAATGGAGTTCGCTGAAGAACATCGACGTACAAAGTTCATTTCCGGACAATAGTTTGAAAATAACTTCTCCATGTTTGCGAATTCATTTTCTAATTTTCGACGGTTTAAATTATCTAATCTTGTAGTCTCTGTGCTCCTAAATTCTCAAATAAATATCCTAGACTTCTATCCTCCAAAATATCCGAATCTCGAACCCCAAATTCTTAAAGTCCCAAATTTTCAGATTTTCAAATCTTTCTAAACTTCAAACTATTCTTTGAAGTTTACCTCTAACGTTTCCAAATTTTCGTATCCTTAGATTTTCTAAGTCCCACCTTCTCAAATTTCCAAATTTTCATAATCTAAGATCTCCTAAGTCCCAACTTCTCAAATTTCCAAATTTTCATATCCTTAGATCTCCTAAATCCCAACTTCTCAAATTTCCAAATTTTCATAATCTAAGATCTCCTAAGTCCCAACTTCTCAAACATCCAAATTTTCATATCCTTAGATCTCCCAAATCCCAGCTTCTCAAATTTCCAAATTTTCATATCCGTAGATCTCCTAAGTCCCAACTTCTCAAACTTCCAAATTAAATCCCCAAACCACCTAAATCCGAAATTTAACTTCTCCAACCTCCACATTCCCGAATCTTCAAATCCCAAATATTTCACTCACCCTTTCCAAATCACATCCCCAAAATTACACCGTTCATTAACCAACGACAATACTCTCCAGATTCGCCGCAGGATTCTGCTTCACCGTAGTCTACGCAGCTTTATTAACAAAGACGAATCGAATCTCGAGGATCTTCAACGCGAGCAAGCACAGCGCAAAGCGGCCATCTTTTATATCGCCGCGTTCGCAGCTGATTATCTGCTCGGGTCTGGTGTTCGTGCAGATTCTAATTAACGGTGTGTGGATGATAATCGACCCGGCTAGAGCGATGCACCATTATCCAACCAGAGAAGACAACTTGCTCGTATGCAACAGCTATGTGGACGCCAGTTACATGATCGCCTTCGCCTATCCAATTATGTTGATCGTGGTGTGCACGGTGTACGCGGTGCTCACCAGAAAAATCCCGGAGGCGTTCAACGAGAGCAAACATATCGGTGAGACGTGCAACATCGATGCAACTTTTGTCGAAAATTTTCGAACACTTCCGGGAGCCATTGTGCCAAAGGCATTTTCGATCTTGCGCTTAAAGCTTCCTCTTTTATGCCGGGGAATTAAAGTTCCTCGAACAGCCATTGAACTCGGGAACGTGGAATATTTTCCCATAGAGGATTCTATCGGTTTTATACGAATTTTTGAAAAGTCTAACTCGAATGGTCCGTTTAATTCTTTGATTTAGAAGCTTGAGATCTTGTGGTGGAATTGGTGTTTTATTAATGCAATTATTTGTAGAGTAGAAGATTAAATTTAATGTGGAAATTAAATTTTTGTGAATTTATTTGGGAAGAAGAAGAAAGTTTATGTGGGAATTTAAAATATAATTTGGGAGTTTGATGATCTTTCTTGAAAAATCTTATGTAGATTTGATCTAAGTAATCTTCTCTGTTTAGGTTTCACAATGTACACCACCTGCGTCATTTGGTTAGCCTTTGTGCCATTGTATTTCGGTACAGGGAACAATGTGGCTCTGAGAATCACCTCAATGTCAGTAACTATAAGTCTCTCGGCATCGGTTACTATAGCGTGTCTCTTCAGTCCAAAGGTATGTGATTCGCTCAAAGGGATATAATTCGCTATATCGGAAAGTAAGGGTCTTTGATGTGTAATTATTGTCGCCAGTTATATATCATTTTGATTCGACCTGAGAGGAACGTGCGTCAGAGCATGATGCCAGCGAGATACAGCACCACGAAGAGTTCGGCTGTCACTGCTACGAATGCATCAAGTATGATAGCGCCGATTACTTTGACAGCGGCTACGTGTGATCAGAATAAAGCTGTTAAGAAACACATTATCACTACCATTGATTGTTCAACTCAGAGCGAATGTAAGTCAAGATCTCATCAAATTAAAATATTTCAACTTGTGGTTATACTTGTGATAAATTAAATAACTTGTACCATTATGCCACTGTGACACAACTGAACAATGTGATAAAGATGGAAATTTAGGAATATGAAAATAAATTGCATATAGAAATTCGCAGATTTAGAAATTCAGAAGTTTAAGCATAATTACCAAACTTCGAAGCTAAATCAGAACATACATGTTCGCATAATTTAACCGGAGGACTCTCAAAGGAGCCGTCGTTTCAGTTTGATAATTCTGCCCGGAACACGGAACACCTTTTAATTGAAGGTGCTCACGTGATTCCGAGCTCACGTTCTTATCAGCGCGTATCTCGCGTAAAACCGAGGCTTTTAATTAAACCTCCCGACAAAAACTGACAATTTCACGTTTCTAATCTGCCAAGAGATGCCGCGGGCAAGCATCTGTTTAAAGCAGTTGTCTGATAAAGATGTTGCCACAAAAAGTGCACTCGCAAAATCTAAAACTCTGTACATGCTTCTTAACGTTCTTTTAATATTGGATCGAGCGTTCTAGTTTAATTGCAACGGAAAATTCTGTTCCTCTGTCGCATATTCTTTTGTGTAGTATCCTATGGCGATGTTCTATAATTACATTTTGTTTAACTTGATATTATGTGTATTTTGATTACTATATTTTATGATATAACAATTATTGTATATACGAAAAAGAACATTTTGATGACAGATACTAATTTCTGTTAAAAATTTGAAAATATATATAAAGAGAATTAGAGAAAATATGATATAATTATTAAATTGTATGACATCAGTATATTATACTGAATATGTATTATATGTATGATAAAGAGAATTAGAGAAAATATAATATAATTATTAAATTGTATGACATCAGTATATTATACTGAATATGTATTATATGTATGATAAAGAGAATTAGAGAAAATACAATATAATTATTAAATTGTATGACATCAATATATTATACTGAATGATATAATGTATGATAAAGAGAATTAGATCATTTAGAAATTAAGAATTAGGTCACTTAAAAATATTGAACTTGTACATTCAACCTAAACACCAATAAAATTAACTAAACATTTATTTCGTAGACTACGAGCTGGAAGTAAAAGACCGAAAGAACGGAAAGCCCCCACCGACAGTAGTTTCACGATCGACCCAGACAAGCAACGAGAAGGATTCGAACGCAATCGTTTCGAGCAAAGATTCGAACGCAATCGTTTCGAGCAAAGATTCAAACGAGAACACCGCCACAACGAAACAACTGAACAACAATGCGAGAATAGGAAACGGACCAGTAAACCAGAGCGACGTTCCCTTATAGCAGATGGCCCCGGTAGAAGCAGACATTTTGTCTGCGAATCTGAAGCCAATCTCGAAGAAACCCGTAATAGTTTGAACAGATGTCTGAGTATCGATAATATTTTGTAAATACGACTGAACATACTTGGAGCTGTTGAATATCGATGTGATGATCGCAGGTATACTTCAAACGATGTTTAACCCTTCTGACCCGACATATTGGACGAAATTGTGAATCTAGTTGCGGTATAAAATTGGGGTGCTGATAAGTTTCGAAAGATTTGAATTAGCATAGAATTGTGGGATGGATTGAATTTGGAAGGATGGAGTTAGGATGGTAAATGTCTTGGTTAAGACTATGCAACGAAATTTCTATTGGGGTCAGGAAGGTTAAGGTTTCATGGCTCTAAGAATGTGTGAAATTGTGTAAGTTGAAGTGTCGAGCGTCAGGAGATGTCTTGTAGACGATGAGTGTTAGGCTTCTTTTGAACCAGGAGAAACTGCCCATCACTTGCTAAATTTGCAGGAACTCGATGTTTCAATCCCGATTCCAAATTTTTTAATTTTGGAACTTCTAAATTTCCAACTTCTCAAGTTTCCAATTCCCCAAAGTTCAAATTCTCAGTCTCCAACTCTTCAAATTTCAAATTTCTCAAGTTTCCAACTCCCCAAAGTTTCCAACTCTCCAAATTTCAAATTTCCCAAGTTTCCAACTCCCCAAAGTTTAAGTTCTTCAAATCTCCAACTCTCCAAATTTCCAACTTCTCAAGTTTCCAACTCTCCAAAGTTTAAATTCTCCAAATCTCCAACCCTTCAAATTTCCCACTTCTCAAGTTTCCAACTCTCCAAAGTTTAAATTCTCCAAGCCTCCAACCTTTCAAATTTCCAATTCCTCAAAATTCAAATTCTCCAAGTCTCCATCTCTCCAAATTTCAAATTTCGCAAGTATCCAACTCCCCAAAATTCAAATTCTCCAAGTGTTCATTTCTCCAAATTTCAAATTTCTCAAGTTTCCAACTCCTCAAATTTCCAGCTCCCCTTAAATTCCCCAAATCCCCAAAATTCTAAATTAAAAATATTAAAATCTTTCGCAGCCAAAAATCGAGTGATGGGTATCTACGCCGCCATTTTCTCCAAAGAAGCCATGTTCGCGACCGTACGATAGAATAAATTTTGACTGAATTTTCCAAGCAAAATTCGATTCTTGGTACTCGATAATTTCTAGAAAATTAAACAAAACGACGAGGACGCTGGATACACAAGATTACACGATACGTGATCACCATTTGCAATTAATTGTTAAGTCGCGTTTGAAATACTGCTCTGGTTTCTTCTGTGATCATAGCGTAATTCGTATGATAATCACGTGTAATTGCATAAATCTCTTTTGTACATACACCATGATACTTCATAATCTGTGCACGCGAATCGTTCATCAAGTTAACTAATTGTAAATATCGATTTAGTTCGTTATTATGTAAAAAGTATTTCCGTAACCAGATCCTTGCCAAATATTAAGAGTTTGCGTCCACACGCGACGATCTTCTAACAATGATCAGAATTTTTGTAAAAGGAAATGAGACACGGTGAAACGATAGTTATTCGACACGGTTCATTTTTCTGTATATACATTCCATCGTGTAAATATTACATAAAACATAAGTTAGCGAAGAAAAGTTGTGCACGTTCGAAACTATTTACAATTCGCTTAAAGTCTTGTCGACGTTTCCATGTACGAACGTTGATCTTTAGATACGTTTTCTCTTCTTTTCGAATCTTCTTCTCTGCAGACTATAGGAATTGCTACAAGTAGAATTGAAACGCGATCAACGCGTCGATCAGTCTTCTCGTAAGGTCTAGCCATTCGAATTTTATTGTAACGCGGACGGCTTTGTACGATGTAAGGATCATTCTGTTGAGGTCGAGGTATAGTTAGGGAAAGTGGTATAGTGTGGTTTTAAAATTAGTTAAGTTTAGTGGACCAAAATTCACAAATTCGAACATCCACAAGTCCCAAAGTTTGAAATACTAAAAATTTCAAAATTCCACAGTTTTGTGATTCTGATATTAAAAAATATAAAAATTTAATAATTTTATAGTGTCAATCCCAGGATACCAAAATTCTAATGTTATAAAAGTCCAAAACTCTAAACTCCCAAAGTTGCAGAAATATAAAATGATAGTCACGATTGACCCAATTTACGACCACGCTATATCAAGTCCCCAACTATAGGTAACATTAAGAGTTGTAAATTCGTTTCGTAGAATCGCAATAACGCGATAAACATATCCACTCTGACCCGTATACCTAGCCGATTTCTTGATAGAGATAAACTACAATTAATTCTAATTACTAATTTGTTTTTAACACCTTCGCTGTACTAGCAGGGTCACCAAATTTTCGGTGCCCGATATGAATCGAGTTTTATAAACTATTATTTCCATAGCAGCGAACGTGTTAAATAACGATTTTATGGATCAATTTGTAATTCTCTTTTTAATTTTTATAGAAGCGATAGTTTCAGCCCGACTTTGGATACAAATGAGCCCGGTATCCATTGTTTGGCGCGCAATAACTGTTTCGTATTGGAACAAAGCCTTGTTCAATGATTTCGAATTTTGACGAATAATTTCATTTTGAAAGTAATGCGTGGTTAAATGAAACGAGTCCAAGGTTTAAGGTTAAAAAGTGATAAGGGAAATATTTGATCGTTCTCGAACCGTAACGTTCGATCCGCGTGTAAATATTCGAAACTATACGATTGTACATATTAAGTGATATCTAAGGCATGAAACGAAGATGTTAGTTCATATGGAACCAATTTAGACGTAAATTCTACGAAAGATTAAACGAAAGGTGTAACGACGAACGATGAGACAATGCAATGGCGGCGTTAAGAGAATTGTTTAAAACTAATTATCGAACCGTTATAATCTAAGCATATTTTAAATACAAGCGATAAGTTAGAGACACGTATAACGCGTGTGGTATTACGATGTATCCGTTAACATGAACGAATGGAATTAATGCGGAAAATGAAAATCGAGTAACAATAAAATCAATCGTGAAATTATTTGTCAGTGTATTTCTTGTCCACGTTATTAAACTTTAGAACTTTATTATATCACAAGCTAAGTTCCAGAACGATTATTTTTAAGAAGTCTGCAACCCCTAAAATTTCAGTAACCTCAATTTATTCAATAACAAAACTAATTTTCTGTATTAAGATATAAATAATCTTCAACTAAAATGATCTATTATATTTTTGAAATATAATTTACTTACGTTATCCTTAATCGAATAAGGTCTATCAAATCCTCACTTTGGTCTGTACATAAATGTGCTGTTTGATTTCCATTAGGTGCATCTCACAATAATCGTACGATGTTTGTAAAATCTGTTTTATTTCTCAAAAAGTACAAAAAAAAGCTTTACAGAGAAAAAACGATGCGCTGTTAGCGGTGTAGACAGACAGAGAGACAGACAGACACAGACAGACAGACAGAATCCGATCGAGATGGTGATATGCCACGAGGTTTCACCTAAAGTTGAACTTCTCAATTTGGCTCATCACTCAGTTCGTGGTGCTTTACCGGGTTAGTAGATCCTGAAAATCCCGATTAGGCGTATCATTTGTGACTGGTCCCTGAATACACATTCAATTACACTAAACACGAAAAATTAGAATAATTGAAAAAAAAACGACGACTTTTCACTTACTTCCCAAAGCTGAATATCGCCTTCCAAATAAAAAAAGAAGCTTTACTACCAATTAAACGATGGAATTTCGATGTCGATATCTACCTATAACTGGCGAATATAGTGATCCAAAAATCGTGGTACAAAATGGCCGGTGATTCGTGCAAAAAATACAAGAAAACAATTTTCAAACTTTCAGAATATGCAAAATTATCTTTGCAAGAAGTATCAGTGTTTGTGTCACGATTTTTGAGGCACCCTATCTACGGAAGGAGAACACTATACAAGCCTAACAAGATCTAAATAATCTAAATGTAGAGCCGTAACCACGTGACGCAAAGGACAGGCGTTAAAGGGTGCAGAGAAATAGAAAAGCCTCGCTAAAATAAATGATCTTTTTATTCCATTAGCAATTACAACGCTTTGTAATCCGACAATCTTGTTCACTGAGCAACGTGTATCGTGTTCGTATACCGTTACATTCACCTAAACGCATCGTGACCTTCCCTTAACAATCATCGATTCGACTAGTTACGCTTTGTTTTCGTCATTATACCGCCTCATCACTAGGTATCGTCTTTAAGAAAAAAAAAGAAAATAAAATGAAAAACAGACCATACGAAGTTAACGCAAACGATGAAATTAATACTGAGACACGTTTTTGAGACACGTGCAAACAACTCATCACACTGGACCCACCGTTCCTCGACGGCGATATAACAGATACGGACACAAATATTCGATTCACTGCTACAACTAATCGATCAGACTTTCTTATACGGGATGCTCGACGTGACGGTCGCCACCATTTTCTGGACACTTTGGGACTAGTTCTGGACACTTTATTTTGGAGATTTGGGATTTTGGGACGTTTAAGAATTTCGAAGTTCTGGAACTACGAGATTGAACTTTAGAATTTTTTAATTTGTAAAATTTGGGACTTTGAAAATGTTGGAAACGTTAGGATTTAGGACTTTGAAATTTTTAGGGAACAGAAATTTTTTAGCGTGGAATTTTTGTACTTTGGGACTCTGATACAATTTAAGAATTTTGGAACTTTGGGAAAAATTAAACTAGCGTACCTAAAAAATCGTGGCGACCACGAGAACACCCTGTACATAGTTGACGAACCCGGTCTCGGTATCATTCACACCTTACAACGCAAAGTACGTATAAAATCTTTGGTTTGACTAAAAAACTCTCGTACACGCTACGCTTACAAAATTCGAAAGCTTATTCATTATAAAAGTACTGTTTCTCTTGTAAGAAAAGTTTCGGTTGAATTCTCGATGTGAAGACAATCACAATATGTTCACCATCATCGTAATACGATTCATTCCATTTCTTCTTTTTACATCTAATTTGATAAACAATTAGACGGCATTCGAGTTGAACTTCAGCTCGTGTTTACAACGATTTATTTGATCAACTCGAATGCAGTTCTTATATAGTTCAATGATCTTTGTAAGCTCAGCTAATGTTAAAAGTGCAATTTAATAATGAAAAATCTACTTTAGATGTACGTACATTGTTTAACAATGACGAACAGTTAATTTCGAATATAAAATCTTTGAATGATTGTATACCTCATTTTATGAAATATTGAATCTAATCGTACCGATTCGAAAGGACCGAATATAATGCACTTATGATTTATAGATTTTCGTTTTCGTTTGCCTATAGATCTATGCTACTTCAATATTTCCATGCACTTGTTAACTTTTATTAGATTTTAAATACAATTTAATGAATAAATTCGTTCATATATTACCCTTTTCCCACTTTTCTTTTCTCATTCTAACATTTAACGTAGGCAATGATTTCGAAAAAATTTATAAATTGAACGTAACAAAATGTTCATGTAAACATATACTATCATTAAACAAACACAACAATATTTACAAAAACTCTCTTTGTTTAAATTAAAACTTAGTTTCTTTAGAATTTATATGAGATGCCATGTCATGGCAATGAACCTTCTTTTGTTCGCAATAAACATGTGGGCCATTATTTATCGCAGTTTACATTAGTGTAGGATTGCAAGGTCCTTGAGAATTGTCGAATGCAAAATTACAAGTAACGTACTACAATCCTGTCATCGATGAGATACATTTCACGTGATAAAATATTACTGTATTTATGTCTTCCAGAACTTACCACTGCCTTTAATACCTTTGACCTTTTGTTGCTTCTTCTTTGGGTCTGGTGGTACTGATAATGCTTCTCTGCCAGATTCACTTCCACCTGCTCCTGAACTGCCGCCTGCTATGTCTGCCTCCTGTGCACCACCTCCTCCAGCATGCGCGGCGAGGGACTTTTTTATATTGGCAATCTGAAAAGAACCAAATATTTTAGTACAAAGTTTTCTTTCTCCAAATATTTCTATATAAAGAAACTTACATCTCTCTGTACAGTCTCCTTGTGATAAATAGCTGCCTGCTTTTCAACGTTGGCTATCGTAACTTGTTCCTCGATACACGCTAATACAGAGCCACAAGCTTGACCCCAAGCAGCTAAAGTTTCAGCCACCACACCTGTATCGCCAGGTCTAACATCACGCCCTAAACCGGCATAATCTACCTCTAATTGTGAATTCTTTTGATCTAATTTACCATGTATTATGTCTGCATAAATGGCTTCAATTATTAAATCTTCTAAATCTCTAACATTTTTTATATCCAGCTCCTCCAACAATGTAGAATACGGTATACATCTAGACTTTGTGGCTAATGTAACAATTGTTAAATGCTGGAGCTTTTTCTTTTGAACTGGAGTTAATTCTAGAACCTTTTCTTTATTTTCCAAGTACTCTTTGTATGTGCCGTAAGCAAACAAATTCAATGTGTTCCAATATTGAACGTATGGTCCATTTGCTAATTCTTTAATATTGGGCATATCTAATAACTCTCCAAAGACATGAACTCCTGGTGTTTCTACAGCTTGTCTTATAAGTTCTAGTGCAGCTGCGCCTTTAGCAGTTTTTGCAAGTAGAACGAACTGTTCTAAAGGATTATTACTTGACTTTTCTGTAGTAGTTGCACCGGTCATGTTGAACCTATTAAACAAATATCAATTGATAGAAAATTCTACACTTCTTGCTTGAGCAATAATTGAAATGCTTTAGGTTTAACAAAATTTATTATAAAAGCGACAAACTCAGGAAAATCAAGAATCATAATTATATGACAGGTTAGGAAATAAGTATTTAGTATATTCTGTAGCCGAACACTGTTAAAAACCAAGAAAGAAATATTTATTATCTCAAGAATTTCGTTCAAAATATATGTTAATTATGTAAGTATGACTTACTCTATTCGATGTTTACAAATACGAAACTACTCCTACTGAATATGCTTTTGAATAAGGGCAATTATCTACAGTCGTACAAATTCTACCACGAGAAAGAAACAGAACCACCACAAGACAAGGTGCTATTTTATAGAAATGAAATATGGGAAGGCACAATATGATATTATATAAAAGGATTAATTAAGAAAAAAGTATTTCAAGCATATTTTTCTATAATCAATATATTATTCGTTCGACATAAGATCATACTCAATGCGCGCAGCTCCGCTAACTTCAGTAGTCTCCCCACCATTTATAGCAATCCCACTACTATGTTTCACTTCACCGGTCATATATAGAGTGGAATATTCTAGAATAGAGGGCACCATGTATTTACGAATATCCGTTGAAGGCGTTGCAGGCAAAATGGCCGTGTGATTCTTTCGTTGAATAGACGTAAGTTTGTGAGTATAAACGTTACTTTGATTGAAACACTAGAAAAGTATTCGCGTTCATTTAAACAATAAAATGACCGCGATACCTGGTACTGTGGCCTTTGACGAATATGGACGGCCTTTCATCATTCTTCGGGATCAGGAGAAACAAAAACGTTTAACCGGTATTGATGCAATTAAGGTAAATTTATATTTTCATATAATTTCATTCATTGTTCCTCATTGAATAATCAGCAATAATTTTGCCTATACATTTTACTCATAATTCTGTTCGGTATAGTCAGTTTGGGGTTCTAGCAATGACTTTTAAGTTTGACCACGTGAAAAGAGCAATGGCGACGTTTTGGGCTTGGCAATTAACCGAGAAAATAATGTTTTTTACTTAAATTAATCATAAAATGAATATTATATTCATCGTTACTTTAAATTGAATTTAGGGGATAATTTATTTTCATTTACTCTTTTATACTTTTCACTTATTAAAAGATTTTGGTGGCAATGCTTTTGCCCATATAAGGAAATTAATGGGGCTCATACAGTAGTTCAGTATGATACTATAAATTTGATTTGTTATCAACCTGTTGGAAATTTAATATGTAATATACATATCATTGTACATAATAAGTTATTGTACATATCATACTTTTATTATTCATAATAAATTAATAATTTTTTAATTGTAGTCACATATTTTGGCAGCCCGCAATGTGGCCAACATTCTTAGAACCTCCTTGGGACCTAAAGGTCTTGATAAGTTGATGGTGAGCTCTGATGGAGATGTTACCGTGACAAATGATGGAGCAACCATTCTGAAGAACATGGATGTGGACCATGAAATTGCCAAATTGATGGTTCAGTTATCTCAATCTCAAGATGACGAGATTGGAGATGGTACTACTGGAGTAGTAGTGCTAGCTGGTGCCCTTTTGGAACAAGCAGAACAATTGTTAGATAAAGGAATTCATCCAATTAGAATAGCAGATGGTTTTGAAATGGCAGCAAAGTGTGCAACGGATCACTTGAAAGAGATTGTAGATGATTTTGAAGGCAGCACAGAAAATTTAGAGCCATATATTAAAATTGCTATGACTAGTCTTGGTTCAAAAATGTAATTATCATATTTTATGTTTAAATCTTTTAATCCAAACATATTTGTGATATTTTCTTTACTTTTTCCAGCATCAACAAGTGTCATAGACAAATGGCTGAAATAGCTGTGAATGCTGTATTTGCAGTATTAGATCCTGTTTCACGCGACGTGAATTTTGAACTGATAAAGGTAGAAGGGAAAGTTGGTGGTAGATTAGAAGATACTGTCTTAGTTCGTGGTGTTGTAATTGACAAGGACTTCAGTCATCCTCAAATGCCTAAGGTAAATACTTCTCTTAGTACAAGGCTAAATATATAAACAGATTTTATCTAATGATGACAAAAAGCAACAGAGAAGGGTAAAGTTCAGAAAATTGTCTAGCTTACTTTTCATGAACTTGGATCTATTCCTTTGATTAGTTTTCAATTAGTCTTTGGAAAAGTGAAGGTTCACATTAAAGTAGCTATTTAAGGATCTGACCTTTGCAGTGGCTTCAATGATCAAAGGATTATGAGAGCTGAAGGCATAAGAATTGTTTCCTTTCTAATGAATTCTTTAAAATCATAATATGAAAGAGAATTGTATGTATTGTTACAGAGGTTGGAGGATGTTAAATTGGCAATTTTGACCTGCCCGTTTGAACCACCCAAGCCAAAAACGAAACATAAGTTGGATGTTACTTCCGTTGACGACTACAGAGCGTTGCGCGATTACGAGCGGGAGAAGTTCACGGAAATGGTGAAAAGGATTAAGGATGCTGGTGCGACACTCGCCATTTGTCAATGGGGATTTGATGATGAAGCCAATCATCTTCTCCTTCAAAATCAGTTACCTGCAGTCAGATGGGTTGGTGGCCCAGAAATTGAGGTAAGTTTCCAGTCTTCATACACATACACTTTGCCCAATGACGACAAAGCGCAATAGAAGAGGGTGTGAGTTAAGATATCTGACTGTTGGTATTTTCAGAGTTTTTTCTTATTTCTTGTATTAGTGTTCTATTATGAGAATAAACGGGAAATCTGTAAATTCAGTAGTTAGTAATCTTTCTTTCACTGTGGCTCTAATGATCAAAAGATTATGAGATCCGAGGGCTTAGACGTTTTTCTTTGATCACATAAAGCAAGAATGGGAATAAAGACGAGAAACAGTAACAAGTATTATTTCCAGCTAATTGCCATTGCCACCGGTGGTCGCATTGTTCCACGTTTTGAAGAGTTGACTCCAGAGAAACTTGGCCATGCAGGCATCGTCAGGGAACTAACTTTCGGTACAACTAAAGATCGAATGCTTGTCATCGAAGAATGCAAGAACTCTCGGGCGGTCACCATCTTCATCCGTGGTGGAAATAAGATGGTAAGTGAAATTTTCATATTAAATAAAAATGAAGGGCAAGGAGAATTTCAGCGGTATTATTTCAATATACCTAACTGACCAGACACCTTGCAAAAGCAATGCACCACGATATTTTATTAAATGTTCAATTGAAACTAAATTTAATTGAAGTTCATATATCTGATGCTACAACTATTCTTATAGACTTTTTTTCTTCGACAATCTCGTAGTCATATAGAGTTAGTATCAGAGACATGGAAAGTGAACAGACTTATCAAATTATTTGTATTTTGCTTTCAAGATCATTGAAGAGGCGAAACGAGCTATTCATGATGCCTTGTGCACAGTTCGCAATGTCATCACGAACCAGAAGATTTTATATGGTGGCGGCGCTGCCGAAATTTCTTGTGCTCTCGCATGCGCGGATCAAGCAAATAAGATCAGTACTTTGGAACAGTACGCGTTCCGTGCATTCGCAGAAGCCTTGGAAGCTGTTCCTATGGCTCTTGCTGAAAATTCCGGTCTTTCTCCCGTAGACACCTTGACCACAATAAAAGCTCGCCAGTTTCTCGAGAATAATCCCTGCCTTGGTATCGACTGTTTGAATCGTGGCACTGCAGGTACGTAATCGGATGTCTTAAAATCATTACTTGTCATGATACGTAATAATAATTTATCGTTACAGATATGAAAGTGCAAAATGTTGTCGAAACATTAACGAGCAAAACGCAACAAATTTTATTAGCCACGCAATTGGTAAAGATGATACTTAAAATCGATGATATACGCTCGCCAAATGATGCCGGTGACGCAGCCTAAATTTTTTGTAATTCTTCTACATTGAATTATTGTATGAAGAGAATCAATTATATATTTAATTATACCTCACCTTTTTTGCTTCGATCAGCTTCATTCACATTTCTAACGAATAACTGCGTTCAATTTAGTTAACGTTCTGTCATTGAATTATAATTTATACGATAATATTGTGATACAATGCAAATAAAATGTTTTACTTTTAATAAACGTTCTTCATGTTTCTTTGAGGTTATGTTCATAGCGGTATTATAGGTTGAGTCATAAATAGTTGAGAGGTAAGAATTTCCATCAACGATCTTTCGTTTATTTTTCATTGTAGGAACAAATAAATTTTTGTCACATCGAGTCAAGGTATAATCATGTAAACGGGTTATTGTTTCTGTACACTCCGGGTTATGGGAATTTCGTTTTCGAAAAGTTTTACAGGTATGCATCCGTGAAGCGTGAACGTAAATGCAGATCAACGTAGGAAACAGAATTTGGTTAAATTCTACTAATAAAATGGCACAGAATACAATCGCTTGTACATACATATAAATTATATTATAATAACAATATATACCTGTCTTTCTCTCTCCTTCTCTTTGCTCTTGTATTTTCTGCCTTCTGTGTCTGTACTCGCCAGACCTCATATGTTATTCTCTCTCGTATTACAAAATATACAATCTATACCCAACGTAACGTTATTAATCTCTCGCCTTTCCTTTTCTTTGTACACGTTAAGTACACCTCCAATAGACTTCCGACAATTACGTGCATAAAGTTCTTGCTTGGAGTTGCAATATATTGACCTCAACAACTGTCGATAGACTAATACAATATCGAGAAACAACGCATTTCTTAAATCTCTTTAAATCTTCGTAACAACGTTTCTGTATTTCACAATACAGAATTCGGCACTTTGTTTCACAATTGCATTGCATTTTCTTTGTTTTTTTTTTTTGTATCTCACTACCTCTCATTTACAGATATCTCTAAATCGTTTTCATTCAATTCGGATGTATGAATTGCAAGCTCCAGCAGAGCCTTATATTCGACGCCATCCTTAAGTCTTTGACGCGTAATCATTAAGAACAACGAAAAATGTATCTGTCGTTCGTGAAACGAATCCTTTAAATCGACATGTTTACGCAGACAACGGTAGGAATGATACTTTGTTAAATACAAATTACTCGAGTAAAAAAAAATATATATAAAACGTGATTTCGATGACCCGCTCGATGCGTTACCTAATTTGTTTAGCCAAAGTGATCAGCGCAGCTAATTCCTTTCTTTCTTTTTCTCCGCCCTTAGTTTCTTGTTGTTATTTCTTAATAAATAGGCTATACGAATTTGATTACTCGATACTCAACTAAAAGTTACATGCGCAGCGGGGTCTCTAAGTTTCTCATTTGCTATGATTACACTTTTTTGAGCATGGGCAGGTGAAGTACTTCTGGTATTTCAATATCTTCTAGCCGAATGTCTGATGGATTGAACGGGAATCTTACTGGATACGAGTACATCAGATCCATTAACAACTGAAAAAGAAAAATTATTTGTTTAGTAAAATGTTTAACATAAGTCGTATTTTTCTCAATTAATAAAACTTACTTGTTCGTTGTTTTCGCGGCGTTCGTTCAATTTTTCTTGTACTTTCTTGATGAACGAAACCGGTACACGGGTCTCGAAATCGTCCGCGGGCGTATACAAATTTAGAATCTTTACTATTTGATTCGCGGACAATTTGTTACACATTTCGCACACGGCATCTACGTCGTCGTCTGTCTTTCGAGCTTGCAACAATTGTGCCGCTTGTATGATCGGGTGGAAAGCTACTGCCGCTACCTCCAATCGTCGATCCCTTGCCCATTGCTCTAAATGGCTCAGGTTGTACCTGGAGAAAGAATGTTACGTTCTTATAATGGAGAATTGAGTCACGGTGTGAAATATAGTTGAGTACAACGTAGATTTTGGAAAATGGAGATCTTGGGTAGCTCAAGGTTTCAAATTCTCAGGTTTTGTGATTCCCAAATTTCTCAATTCTCAAATCCCCAATTTCCAAATTTTCCAATTTCCAATTTCCCCAATTCCAATTTCCCAATTCCAGATTTCCCTAATTCCTACACTCCCCAATTCCCACATTCCCCAATTCCCACATTCCCCAATTCCGACATTCCTCAATTCCCACATTCCCCAATTTGCACATTCCCCAATTCCTTTGAAATTTCGAGGGGAAATTAAAAATTTGTCTTTAGGATGATTTATGTTTCTGTAGTTCAAAATTTCTAATTTATGAAATATTTAAGTTCATAAATACCCAGATTCTCAGATTCCTAAATTCCCGAATTCCCACATTGTTCAATTCTTACATTGTCCAATCCCCACATTCCCCAATTCCCACATTCCCCAATTCCCACATTCCCCAATTTGCACATTCCCCAATTCCCACATTCCCCAATTCCCAATTTCCCCAATTCCTAATTTCCCCAATTCCCTAATTCCTAAATTCCCAAATTATCAAATCTAGAATTCCTCATTCTCAGCACTCCATTACACCCAACTCCCCCAAGCCCTACAAAGAAGAGAACCAACCTTATTTGCATGCCCTTCGTCCAGTGACAAAGCTCGTTCCTCAGCAGCAAATTATTCAAAGCGCTAGCACACATGAAATAGAAGAGCTGTCTAAATAATTGTGAAACGATTTCAGCATCGACACCATGATACTGAAGCGTCTTATACACGGAAGTAAGTTCGTCTAGTAGTTTATTAAGCTTCTGTTGCGTGGACTCCGGTTCTTCTCCCATGGAAGAGGATCGTGGTCTGCCAGGCTTATTAGAATTTAACCCTGTAATGGCTTCGTGTTCCAGAAGTGCAGGAACCGTTAACGCCTGGATTCTGTCTCGAAGATTCGTCATGATATTATTAAAGATCCAAAGCGCCACGTTGCTCAAAACAACCCTGTATTCGGCCAGATCGAAATTTCTCAAACATTGTTCGTTCTGTCTGGGAGTGTTTTCGCTCTGGAACGGTTTGTCCCCGGAATACTGTTTCATACAGTGCAGCAATCTTAAAGTGTTGCTGAGCCACAGAACGCTGGAGTCGAAGTCCTCGCGTTTTTTGACCACGCGTTTTACGGCGTTCAGGTAAGTAGTTAACAGTGATCGAATTTTCTCGTCGTCCTTTATGCAGTCTGTGTGTCTGATACACATGAAGAGGATGTAGGCTGGTAGACCGGGTAGCAATGTTACCGCGACCCTAGGTTTCAGGTCTGAAAAATTGAGGATGTTTGAAATTGCTTTAACTACTTAACTATGGAATTTAATTTCAAAAGATCACCACAGGGTGCGGAATTAAAAACAAGCAACGACGTGTATACACGTCGAGTGCAGGACAAATGATACTATTATACATTTTACGAAAAACGAGGAAGGATTACATTTTTATTCGTCAAAAAAACTAACAATTCATTTCTGAATACGTTACTCAAACGCACCGCAGTAGAGATTTGGTCCAGCGTGTATACATGTCGAATGCACTTAACTGGTTAAATTTGCAATACTATAATTTGAAATTTAGTTTACCGATAACGAGGTGTCGTATTATTACGTTGATATGTTCTTTCTTGAATTCGAACATGCCCTCGTAGTCTCTCTCCTTCTTTCGAATGACCGGTAAGTTACTTCCGTTTTCGGAGTGACCGGTGGAAGACATTATAGTGGAATCGGTCGTCGACTCTGTGGTATATGGCACTGTGGAGCAGATATATAATATTATAGTTAATATATATGTTATTAAATATTAAAGGTTGGTCGTAAATGTGGTTTATGAGCAGAGGTGAGTATGGTCTATGAGGTGCGATGAATATGAACGTTAGACCACCACTCACCGGCGCCTTTCGACATAAAAGCGCGATCCTTCTGTTCCTTATTGTTAGTATCGTCTCCATCGACTTTGTAAGCATTTAAATATTATAGCGATTTAATTGCAATTTTCATAATTTAACATTCATAACACAATATTTTGCTTGATTGTGACTCGTATATTCGTTCTCATGAAAATAATATTTATTTATAATATTTGTTTTTTATGCGATAACATTTTAAATATATCTTCAAGTATATCATATCGAACTTTGATAATAATTATATTACAATTTTGATTAACATCTCTTGCCAATTCAGGAGCAAAATATATAAAATTTTTTTTGGTATGTATATTGTTCATATAATTCATATATTATTGTTCATGTAGAAATACACGAGTCACTCCAAACGTTTACTGCAGATAAGATTCGTTTATTTTTATACGACATTATGTTATACTCACAGCCCGCATCTTTCAGACGTTTCGCAAGTATTTTGCATTGTTTCTTGAACTTCCTACATTCTTCCGCTATCTTATCGTACTTCTCCTGCAGCTCCTATTTTGTTCAAATCAAAACATTAATAAAATATACTATACGCTATCACTCTTCGTAACAGATTAAAATTTTACCAAGTTTTCGGAAGTTAGCCTCGCAATCTCATGCTGCATGTACGCCTCCGTTTGAGTCTGCGGGGATTTACTCAAATTCAAGGACAGTAACTTCTGCTGTTTCTCAATTTCCTCCTGCAATCTATCAACTTCCGCTCGATACTCGTCCCTTTGAGATCTCCAACTCTTCTCCTTCATTTGAATCTCATCCTCCAGTTGCCTTAAAAAATGAACGCGGGAAATCATTTTAATTCATCGTCGAATAATTCTCCGATTAAAATTAACCTAACACGTTGACTGTTGTGAAGACTATCGGTGAATGCCTCTAATCTAATCTGACCGAGTCATTCAAGAATGCAGTGACAAATCTTTATTTTTAATAATATTTGTATCGTATTAATTATAAGGCCACAAGTTAATTCTTTGCTATCTGTAATGTAAGACTGATATTTTATAATGGAGATATAACGCGTGGCGATGTAATATAGACCCAACATACTTAATATTGAAGTATCTTTATGGAAGATAATATTATGGATCCATATAAAAATGATAACGTAATCAAAGACTACTGTAATTGTCATTATAGTCATTCGTAATTATATTAACTAAAAACAAGCCAATTCTGCATGTCACCAAAAGCCGATATAAATAATATAATCGATGTAAATCCACAGCACCCTATATTGAAATACAGCCTTCATTTTCATTACAGTCAACGTGTTAAATTTTTTCAACAGTTTTCCAACAAAAAATACATCACGCCGTCTAGCGCTAAATGACAAACAAATGAGATGCGTTTAAGCAGTGTCAATAAATTTCAGTAGAATGATTCGATGTTTTCGAAAGATCGCTAGATGAGTCTAGCTGGAACTATTCGCGACAAAATTGTCTTCTCAACTCACTCTCTGGTAGCCTTTTGCTTAAGTCTACTGAAAATCGACGAGCATGCACAAACGACAAAAGACGATTAGACACGATGCTTCTCCACGATCAACCAGTGACATTTTCCGATTTACCTGTTGATCTTCTTCTGGGTTTCGAAGGCTAACACAAGTTCCCCGTCTTCGTTAATGATGTCCACGTCTCGGCCATAATTCGAGCCTAGACTCTTCATTCTCCGCGTGTTATCCGCCAACACGCTGTGTAACTGTATACACTCTTCTCTTCGTCTTTCGAGTTCTTCTTGAAGAGCGTCGAATTGTCCTAGAAATGGAAATCATTTATCGCGCTTTTTCACCGTCGTTTACTTTGTATTCCAAGATGGTGCAAGACAGAGAGAGAAGCGAAAGAAAAATAACCAGTTTTCAACTGAAAGAACTTTTATTGCTTACAATGTTATAAAGAGTAACATAAAAAAGGCAGTGATCATCTCACAGATGATAAAGCGTATATACACAGCGGGAGTATGGATCAAGTAGATAAAGAAAAAGATACACGTTGTATCTGTGCTCGCGTTAATAACCACAACCTGCTGGTTAGAAGTACAACAAAATAAAAACCAAGTAAAACAAATAAAAACATTGTGCTGTGCTAGCGAAGTAAACAAATATCAGCGTGATAGAAAGCAAAAAGGTAAACAGGTTACAGTAATCGATAGAGTATGTAGTGAAAAAATTCCCTAGCTACGTGGATTATAAAATTACCCATGAGATTCTGTTGTGCACCGGATAGGCCTGTCGAGGTCACACTTTTCCTTAGCGACCCCAGATCTTTTTTCAACTGAGCGTTCTCCATTTCTAGTTCTTGCAGCTGCAAATAATTTTACTGTTTAGTTGAAAGTTTTATTTCTGTTGATTTTTTCTGTGGGATTGCAATTGTTAATTTTCTTTTTAGTTTCGAGTTAATTCAGGAAGTTTCAAGGATGAAAACTTTCAATTTGTTAGGTTCTCAAGTTTCAAATATCAAGTTTAGCTTCTCAAGTTTCAATTATCAAGGTGTTTAGCTTCTCAAGCTTCTCAATTTTTATTTCTGTTGATATTTCTGTTGATTTTTTCTGTGGGATTGCAATTGTTAATTTTCTTTTTAGTTTCGAGTTAATTCAGGAAGTTTGAAGGTTGAAAACTTTCAATTTGTTAGGTTCTCAAGTTTCAACTATTAAGTTTAGCTTCTCAAGTTTCAACTATCAAGTTGTTTAACTTCTCAAGTTTCGACTATCAAGTTGTTTAGCTTCTCAAGTTTCAACTATCAAGTTGTTTAGCTTCTCAAGTTTCGACTATCAAGTTGTTTAGCTTCTCAAGTTTCAACTATCAGGTTGTTTAGCTTTTCAAGTTTCAACTATCAAGTTGTTTAACTTCTCAAGTTTCAACTATCAGGTTGTTTAGCTTTTCAAGTTTCAACTATCAAGTTGTTTAACTTCTCAAGTTTCAACTATCAAGTTGTTTAGCTTCTCAAGTTTCAGACTTCTATGAATTTAAATTTATAAGATGTCAAATTTTTAAAATGTCTAATTTGTAGGTTATCAGATTTCTACGACACAAATTTTTGAAAGTTCCTTGTTCCTAAAACTCTAAATTTCTACGATTCGAAATTTGTAAATTTCCAAATTCCTAAGGCTCCAAATTTCTAAATTCTCACTTTTGGACATAAAAAGCCTCTGAAAATATTACCCTGAACGTGTCCTGTGTCCTCGAATTCTCTTCGGGGCTGTCGCGTTCCAAATCCTCCACCATCCTAATCAGTCTCCCCTTCTCCTTCTCAACATCCTTCAGTTTCTGTTGAAGTTTCAGCACGAGACCGATATCCACCGGTGCATGTGCTGGTCCATTAGTTTCTGAAGGCGACTTATGTGGTTGCACCTCTCCATCAGGAGGACTCTCTGACCTCTGTTGATTCCAATCGATGGTTTCCACTCTCGAATAAGGAGTCGAAGAGGATGCCGTTGACCTTACCGATCCGTAACCCAAATCCTTCGAAACAGAACAAAATGTGATTCTCAACACAAAGAGCATATCGAAATATAAAGCTTACGATATTCTGATCATCAGAAGGAAGTTCCGTGGACACAATTTGTCCACTGCTGCTGGAAGCGTTGCTGAGGGAACGAGAGTGCGCTGGCGCGTGCATCGCTAGCTTTTGCTCCAACATTTCTGCGTGTTGCTCCAACTCGTGATACTCTTTCAACAACTTTTGATAAGCTCCACGATCCTGATCCTGATCCAGCAGGAGCAGATCCTTCTCCTGTTCCAATCGGTGCTTCAGATTCTCCTCCGCACCGCGTTGGTTGTTCTTCAGCTTCTCGTTCGCGACTGAAAGCTCTTTCTGCAATTTTTCGATCTCGTCTTGAAGCTTCTTGTTCTCTTCTTCCTTCTCTTGAACGTTTCTCTCTTTGTCCTGAGATGAATTTAACGAAATTAGTGTTTGTTAACAAATTTTTGATAACAACTGTTTATTAACAAGTTTTTGTCATGAGGTGAATTTAACGAAATTAGTGTTTATTAACAAATTTTTGTGTTAGTTTATACTTCACCTGTAAGATATCCATTTTCTCGTCTCTTTCGTTCTTCACTATCTCCTGCATCTTCTCCAGTTCTTTTTCCTTCTCTATCAAAATTACGTTTAACTTCTTATTCTCTGCGTCTACGGATTTCAGACCTTCCAGCTTGTGTTTCAGGTCTACCACCTCGTTTTGAACGTTCTTTAGTACCTGGTTCTCTTTTATCTGAAAGAGAATGTCCATTTAAAAATATCTGTTCACCTTTTAATGATCTTGTAATGTATTGACTAACATAAAGAAGATAAGCTATCAAAAGAATGGTAGTTTAAGTCAATGTGTTAATGGTCAATGTGTTAACAGTAGAACTACCAACCAGTCAAAATGACTGGTCTCAGATTTCTCATTTTACATTGCAAAATTTTATTGTTGTAATTTTATGGAAAAGTCTGTCATACTTAGTTGAGGTAAAAACTAGTTCTACATGTTACTTGACGCTTTCCCTTTTCATTTTATTTTTCATTCTTCGATAAACGAGTATTCAATGTCGGTAGTTATAGTGTTAATGTGTTTCATATAATAATTTATATGTTTCAAATAATTAAACCTACAAGTTCAGTGATCTTCTGCTGTAACGTGATGATCTTCTTCTCCAATCCTTTATTCAAAGACTTCACATGTTCCACGCTTCTAGCCTCAGCCTTTAATCTTCTGAACACCTTCTTCGCCAGATACCTCCTCACGCAAGACTGAACAATGATAATATTCTCCAACTTCTTCTTGCACGCCATTCGAACAAGATATCCCCTCGCGAATCTTTGAATCACAATCGCGGCAGCGTTGTCTTTCATCAACTGATACCTCTGCCTAGCCATTTTTCCTCTGCCATAAGTCTGAATACCGATAATTGTGCGTTTTATCTGAAGGAACCGACGTCGTTTCAACCAGCCCTTAACGCGTGCTTGAATTTTAATCGCGGCTCTTTCCTCTCGTACAGCTTGAGCTTTTTGCCTAGCGATATAACCCCTGCCGTATCTTTGAAGCCCAAGAACGGCACGGCGAATCTTCTTGTACCTACTGCGACAAATTAAGCCTCGGACCGTTTTCTGTATCATTATGCAAGCGTCTCGTTGCCGTTCCGCTCGGAGCTTTTCTAGGTAGGCCACTTGACCGGCGCGGAAGAGGACCTTTGTCTTGCCGAATTTAAACTTGTCGTCGTCTTTTATGTACCTGTTAAGGTTTCTTTTGTTATATTGCATGAAATGGGGATTTTGGATTAAGCTGGGTAGGTTACTTTAGGTAGCAAGGAAAGAGTTAGAAGGTTTTAGAAGAAGGTTTTAGAAGAAAACTTACAAGGTTTTTAAAATTTCTTAATTTTCCAAATTCCACAATAATTAATACCTCTAAATTTCTAATTTGAGAACACTTAAATATTTCAATTTTTAGATTTAGACAAATTTAGGAACATGTAGAATTAGAGTAGAATTTAGACAAATTCTCACATTTCTGAGTCCTTCAATACTCAAGTTTTTTAACTTTATGATTTCAAATTCCCTAAATCCCCCAGATCTCAAAGTCCGAAATTTCCAAGTCCCTCAAATTAAAAATTCCCAAATTTCCAAATCCCTCAGGTCCCAAGTTCAAAAATTTCCAAATCCCTCAAGTTAAAAATTCAAAAATTTCCAAGTCCTTCAAGTTCCAAATTTCAAAATTCCCAAATCCCTCAAGTCCCAAATTTCAAAATTCCTAAATCCCTTAAATTCCAAATTCCTAAATTCTCAAATCCCTCAAATCAAAAATTCTAAAATTCCCAAATCCCTCATATCTAAAATTCTAAAATTCCCACATCCCTTAAGTCCCAATTTCTAAAATCCCCAAATCCCTCAAATCCAAAATTCAAAAATTCCCAAACTCCTCAAGTCCTAAATTCCAAAATCCCCAAATCCCTCGAATTCCAAATTCCAAAATAAGCAAATCCCTCAAATCCAAAATTCCAAAACCCCAAATCCTTCAAATCCAAAATTCCAAACTTCCCTAATCCCTCAAATCCAAAGTTCAAAAATTCCCAAATCCCTCAACTCCCAAATTCCAAAATCCCCAAACTCCCCATCCAAAAATCAAATTACCAAATATCCAAAAATTCCCCGAATCTTCAAATACCCAAATTTCTTCCAAACCCTGAAATTCCTCAAAAATTCCCCAAAACTCCCTACACAAAATTAAAAATAAATGCATATATATCCCTATATACCCCTTTCAAAATATCACTAACCTTTCCAATATCCGTCTGCACGTCTCCCTGAGATCATCTCGTCGAATGTCCTTGAACTTGCACAGGCACCTGTACCTAAGGAAGAATTCGCCGTAGGTCCTCTGACTGGGGAACCCAGCAGCCGATATCCTGATCGTCTCCAGCACACCGCAAGCTCGTAATTGTTGAACAGCTCTAACAGGATTGTACTCGAAAGCTTCCTTGGTGTCGTTCGGTTTAATGCATCGTACATAGTGAGGAGTAGTCGCGTTCAACGTCGACATTAACATGTTCAAGGAATCCCGGAATTGCGATCCTACCTAAAGATTTTGTTTCATGGCAATCTATCGACATACTAACAGATAATATTTTTAATTAACAAATTACCGTTTTCTTGTTCTGTTTGGGGGTGCTGGGTGATGGCTTCTGGGCAGATATTTTGACCCTGACGTTCGGGGGTACCATAAGTTTCGGATCCTCGTCGCTGAACAGCTTTTTCAGTAATTTATTCTGCAAGGATATATTGTGTGAGAATTGTTATTTATATTAATTAAAATGGCAGAAGTTTAACCCCTTCCAATATTTTGATGAGTCTCACACGTGACGCACTTACAGCTCAAATGTGACAAACTTTGAACATTCTTCAACTTGAAATTTAGGTCCAACTATAATATGCATTATGAAGAATCCCTGAATATAAAATATTCACATTTTAATTTTCTCTGTTCGTTTTAATGTTATAGCCCTGAATAGTTTTGACTGACGCATCTGTTAATAAATGGCACGGGAAGGGGTGAATGGGGATTACGTACATCTCCGTTTCGTAGAACGTCCACTTGTTCCTCGATGACGGTGTCCCTATTCTTTTCCAAAAATCCAGTCGTCTCGTATCGAACCAGATCGGCAAAATGGTGGATCAGAAAGGCAGATGTTCCAAACCGTGGTCTTTCGAAGTGCTTAGACTTTCCACATTTTGCGTAAAGTTTCTCCGTCCAAGAGCTGTCCGACCCCTTCGGCATCTGAGCATCGAAGCATCAATTAGTGTATTATTTAGCGAATGATTTGACGTCGAATAAATTTACCGACCCTACATTCTTCGTCGAGCAAATCCAGTATACCCAGCTTCGTCTCTATCAGATCGATACAGGGTTGATTGTCGTAGAAATCGATGAAAGTCCACTCGATTTCCTCTTTGAAATATTCTTCCTGTTCCAATTTGAACACGTGCTGATTGAACTGCTGTTGAAGCTTTTCGTTGGCGTAGTTTATGCAGAATTGTTCGAACGAGTTCACTTCGAAGGTCTCGAAACCGTAGATGTCGAGAACGCCGATGAAGCATTGGGGTTTGTTCTGGGACTGCAGCGAATTATTGATGCCAGTTACGATCCAGTTGAATAATTCCGCGTAAATGTGTTTTGCGAGAGCGTCTCTGGCCCCGATTGCTTGCTCCACGTTCATCGGCTTTAAGAACACCTCCTTCATCGACACGATTTTCCGGTGGCACAGCCATTTTCGCATCGCGTTCACGTCGGTGCCCAGTAACTCGCATATTATTAACAGATGCTTGTCTGATGGCTGGAAGTTAAATTATATTGAATTAAGTTCAGTTAAGTCCATCCAAATCACATCAAGGCAAATCAAACTAATTCATATTGTATCCAAGTACATAGCTCTGTTAATATCAGTCAAGCAAAATCAATCTAAATTAATTCATGCTAAAATAACATAGGCAAAGAGAAATTAAGTAAAATGAAAAAATAAAGTCAAGTTACTATGTTCAAAAAATAAAAGAGATCGTTGTGGAAGATTATCATTAATCATCACCAGAAATTTAATATGAATTATGGTACGCAACAGAACATTATATAGCAGCCATATAAATATACGATTCAAGTATACAGCTCAGTTAATATTAGTGAAGCAAAATCAATCTAAATTAATTCATGGTAAAATAACATAGGCAAAGAGAAATTAAGTAAAATGAGAAAATAAAGTCAAGTTACTATGTTCAAAAAACAAAAGAGATCGTTGTGAAAGATTATCATTAACCATCACCAGAAATTTAATATGAATTATGGTACGCAATAGAACATTATAGAGCAGCCATATAAATATACAATTCAAGTATACAGCTCAGTTAATATCAGTCAAGTGAAATCAAATCAAATTTAGGCTAAAATAATATAGGTGAAGTGAAATGAGAAAATGAAGTCGAGTCACTAAGTTAAAAAAATAAAATGGTTGTGAAGGATTATCACCAAAAATTTAATACGAAACTATGGTCCGCAATAGTACAATATGTAGCGTCCATATAAATATATGATCCAAGTACACAGCTCAATTAGTATCAGTCAAGTAAAATCAATCTAAATTAACTTATGTTAAAATAACATAGGCAAAGAAAAATGAAGTGAACAAGAAAATAAAGTCAAGTCACTAGGTTGAAAAAATAAGCGGGATCATTGTGAAGGATTACCACTAACCATCACCAGAAATTTAATATGAATTATGGTCTGCAATAGTACAATATGTAGCATCCATATAATTATACGATCCAAGTATCCATAGTAGTACATAGCTTAGTTAATATCAGTCAAGTGAAATCAATCTAAATTAACTTACACATAAATAATATGGACGACGTGAAATAAAGTGAAATGAGAAAATGAAGTGGAGTCACTAAGTGAAAAAAATAAAATGGTTGCAAAGGACTATCACCAGAAAATGAATTATGGAACTCAATAGCACAATATGTAGCATCCATATAAACACACGATCAGTATCCATATATAACATCCATATATATTTACGTGAATGTAGCTGGCCTCGGTGTCGTTCTCCTGGTTCGGATTCTGAGTATCAGAATTCCCTATCCTGACGTTTCCCAAGTGCATAATAGCCGCTAAAATACGAAGCATATCATCCTGCTGTTTAGAAGAGAATCCCAGCATAGTAAACGCGTTCACCGTTTCATCGAAACACGCCAAGTCGTCCACACCGTCTATCATCGGGTTGTTCCCTTGATTCAGATAGTGAAACTGATTTTGGTGACTTAGATGCAAATGCGGAAGCCGCGCGGCAGCAGCACACATTTGGTAAAATATATGGTAATTCCTTTCCTCGTATGCCTGTGAAGTTTGTTACTAATTAATTGTTATTATTTTCATAATTTTTTATGTAAATCGATTGGAACAAATTGAGAAATTAAGTATACCTGAAACACGACTCGTGATTTCTCGAGAAGATAAGTCCTCATGCTGGCTCCGGTGATGTGATAATGCTTATTGAATTGAATTTCAATAAACTTCCCGAATCTCGAGGAATTGTCGTTCCTCGTTGTCTTCGCGTTACCGATTGCTTCCATGATGGGCAAAGATGCGAGCACCTTCTTTTCCACCTGGGTTTCTGTTGTCGAGCCACCGACTGTGGCGAAATATCGCATCGTGTATTTCGCGGACACTGTTTTCCCTGCACCTGACTCTCCGGAGACGATGATGGACTGATCGTGACCCTCTCTATACTCGTTTGACAGTCAAACATATATATTAAATTTTAAGATTAAAATTGAAGGATCAAATTGACTGTCAAGGATCAAATTAACTTTTAAGGATCAAATTGACCTTTAAGGATCACAATGATTTTGAAACATCCGACAAAGAAATGAATTACAATTTTCTTGTAAGTTTTACCAGTTAATCGAGCTGAATACTACATTGAATTGTTCAACCAGTATAATTTGTCTAATTATTTACTTAACAAGCTATATGCTTAACACTAAACCTATCGAAATATAATATTTATTTGATTTGAAATTAAAAATGAAGTTAAAAGATAAATAAACAAACGAAACATAAATTAGTACACACATTTATTCTTTATCTCGATGAAAATCAATGAATGTACTTTAAACAAAACGTGTATCTTATAATAATAAACTTGTGGAGCAGTCATTTGACCGGTTTGGTAGGTTTAGTGTTAACCTGAACCTAACTACATCGAAATTCAAATTACATCGAATTACGTGTTCCAAAATTTCACTTTTATGGATATAACATTATGTGATATACATAAAGTCATATAGAAAATTGTCTTGGGCTATGCAGAATATTATTGACTACGTTGGTAACGACATATACATAGCAATTTGTTACTAGCAATTTTAGTGTTAATCTACCTAGTTTAATCGAGGTAAATATTACAATAAAAGTTTCAACCTTTCCAATTTCGTGTAAGCCTCTTCAGCAACGGCGAATATGTGCGGCTCCAAATCGCCCATCGCCTGCCCCCTGTACGCCCAGATCGTGTCATTTCCGTAAATTGGAAGCTCATTGTAAGGATTAAACGCGACCAACACAATCCCGCAGTACGTGTAGATGCAGTGCCGTTGGAAACGTATCTGAAGATTGTAGAGAACGGCCGGTTCATGGAGGAACGACAACGACGTCAAATTATTTTCCCCTAAAAGTATGTCCGGATTCCTCAATGGCGGTAAATCGGCGTCCGACTTTATTTCCAAGACCTTCGTCTGATTCGAATCTTCCGTGTGGACCTTCAAGGTGGGCTGATTTAACTTGTAATCCTCCAGGAGAATCGCCCCTTCCCATATCTTTTCTGGATGTGGCACCCATACCCTGCCACCCTAAAGAATATTCATTTTTCGTTCATTGTTTGTTCAGCTCTTTGTCTCGTTAATTTATTTTTAATTTAATTGTTGAGGTTTTAATTTAATATCACTGAGGTTTTTATTTAGATAGTATTTTTTGGTTTATTGGGAGGGACATGGGGAGGGGAGTGTGGGGATGTGAAGGTAGATGTGGATGTTCTGATTTGGGGAGATGTGGAGATTTGGGGAGGAGGATATAGAGATTTGAGGATCTGGAGATTTAGAGATTTGGGAATCTGGGGATTGGGGAGATGGGGATATGGGGAGATGGGAATATGGGGAGATGGGGAGCACCTTCTTTTCCACCTGGGTTTCTGTTGTCGAGCCACCGACTGTGGCGAAATATCGCATCGTGTATTTCGCGGACACTGTTTTCCCTGCACCTGACTCTCCGGAGACGATGATGGACTGATCGTGACCCTCTCTATACTCGTTTGACAGTCAAACATATATATTAAATTTTAAGATTAAAATTGAAGGATCAAATTGACTGTCAAGGATCAAATTAACTTTTAAGGATCAAATTGACCTTTAAGGATCACAATGATTTTGAAACATCCGACAAAGAAATGAATTACAATTTTCTTGTAAGTTTTACCAGTTAATCGAGCTGAATACTACATTGAATTGTTCAACCAGTATAATTTGTCTAATTATTTACTTAACAAGCTATATGCTTAACACTAAACCTATCGAAATATAATATTTATTTGATTTGAAATTAAAAATGAAGTTAAAAGATAAATAAACAAACGAAACATAAATTAGTACACACATTTATTCTTTATCTCGATGAAAATCAATGAATGTACTTTAAACAAAACGTGTATCTTATAATAATAAACTTGTGGAGCAGTCATTTGACCGGTTTGGTAGGTTTAGTGTTAACCTGAACCTAACTACATCGAAATTCAAATTACATCGAATTACGTGTTCCAAAATTTCACTTTTATGGATATAACATTATGTGATATACATAAAGTCATATAGAAAATTGTCTTGGGCTATGCAGAATATTATTGACTACGTTGGTAACGACATATACATAGCAATTTGTTACTAGCAATTTTAGTGTTAATCTACCTAGTTTAATCGAGGTAAATATTACAATAAAAGTTTCAACCTTTCCAATTTCGTGTAAGCCTCTTCAGCAACGGCGAATATGTGCGGCTCCAAATCGCCCATCGCCTGCCCCCTGTACGCCCAGATCGTGTCATTTCCGTAAATTGGAAGCTCATTGTAAGGATTAAACGCGACCAACACAATCCCGCAGTACGTGTAGATGCAGTGCCGTTGGAAACGTATCTGAAGATTGTAGAGAACGGCCGGTTCATGGAGGAACGACAACGACGTCAAATTATTTTCCCCTAAAAGTATGTCCGGATTCCTCAATGGCGGTAAATCGGCGTCCGACTTTATTTCCAAGACCTTCGTCTGATTCGAATCTTCCGTGTGGACCTTCAAGGTGGGCTGATTTAACTTGTAATCCTCCAGGAGAATCGCCCCTTCCCATATCTTTTCTGGATGTGGCACCCATACCCTGCCACCCTAAAGAATATTCATTTTTCGTTCATTGTTTGTTCAGCTCTTTGTCTCGTTAATTTATTTTTAATTTAATTGTTGAGGTTTTAATTTAATATCACTGAGGTTTTTATTTAGATAGTATTTTTTGGTTTATTGGGAGGGACATGGGGAGGGGAGTGTGGGGATGTGAAGGTAGATGTGGATGTTCTGATTTGGGGAGATGTGGAGATTTGGGGAGGAGGATATAGAGATTTGAGGATCTGGAGATTTAGAGATTTGGGAAATGGGGATATGGGGAGATGGGGATATGGGGAGATGGGGATATGGGGATGTAGGGATCTGGGGATCTCGAGATCTGCTCAGGTAGAAATTTGGGAATGTGAGAATTAGGAAATGTAGGGGTTTGGGGATTTAGGGATCTGGGCATGTAGGGATCTGGGGATGTAGGGATCTGAGGATGAAGGAATTTGGGGATGTAGGGATCTGGAGATGTAGGCATCCAAGGTTGTAGGGATCCGAGGATTTAGAGATATGGAAATATAGGGATCTGGAGATCTAGAGATCTGCTCAGGTAGAAATTTGGAAATGTAGGGATTTGGGGATTTAGGTATCCGGGCATGTAGGGATCTAAGGACGTAGAGATCTGGGGACGTAGGGATCTGGGGACGTAGGGATCTGGGGATGAAGGAATTTGGGGATGTAGGCATCCAAGGTTGTAGGGATCTGAGGATTTAGAGGTATAGAAATATAGGGATCTGAGGATGTAGAGATCTGCTCAGATAAAAATCTGGAAATCTGAGAATTTAGGAATGTAGAGATCTCTGGATATAAGGATTTGGGTATTTAGAATTCTGAGAGCATACAGATCTGCAAATATAAGTACTTGAAATATACAAATTTTCACATATAAGAATATGGAAATATAGTGATCTAAGAACATAGTATCTGGGAATGTAGTAATCTGAATATATAGAAATTTAATATTACAGAAATCTGAAGATATGAAAACCTAAAAATATAATGACCAGGCTCTACAGAAATCTTTGAATACACAAATTTAGTGATATAAAGATCCAAAAACATATGCTTCTAAAAATACATAAATTTGTGAACCTAAAAATCTAAAGCTACACAAAATATTTATTTTACCTGTCACGATTCACATGAATACCAAAACACCTGAAAAGCCATTACGTTTTCATCTCGCCACTAAAATAGTCGTAGCAAGCATACATAAAATGCAAGTGGGAAATGCAGTACGATAGAAGTTTCAGAAAAATGCTTCAACATGGTCGTTTAAGTTTCATAAGCGCGATGTTTGATGGTCCAGCATCGCCTAGAGCCATGGCTCGGTATAGCAACTTCAACAGTGTGAACGAGCTTGCACGAGTTAATTACTTAGCGTCGAATTTTCCTTCTTTTCAAAAGATGACCTGCTTTTCCTTTTTTCGCGAGAGCCACGCAGGAAAATGAGGTCGCCAGATCGATTTCCACGGCGGGTGCGCGAAATCAGAAGATTGGTTATCGCGTTAAAATAACGATTGCTTTTCGATCTCTGCAAACGGGTTTGATTTCCGATGCGTCGAGATAAGCGATTTAATAACTCTGAAACGGTAAATGACTGGGAGCTAAGTTCCTTGTATTTTAGAGATATTGCATGAAGTATTGCAGTCGATCGATTATCAATTTTTATTTCATGATATAAATCGATTTCTCAAACGTCACTGATTATACTGTCCTTGGAACCTAACGGTATCGACGAAATCGTGCTCGAACCTCGTGGTACTACGAATGAGACACGAAACGCCAAAATGTACTGTTATCAGACGCTCCTGTTCCGGGAAAAAGAAAAAGAGCAGAATTACGTGATCCGAAGGAATATCGGAGCAACGGTAAAATTCCACCTTCGTACCTGTTCTTTCCTAAGCTGTCACTGTTACGTCAGCGAAACTGGTTCTAAAGACAATCGAAAAGAGTGAAACGTTTGATATGCTGTCTTTAAAACAACACGGTGATACACGTATGTGGGTCACGCTACGAACAAGTGAAAAATAACCGTGAACTCTCACGATTCAATCTTCTGTCAACTATTATACAACACTTGGACATTAGGAGAAGTTCCGTTTGTTTTCTAATGCAATCGTTTGCAGATCATCTTGAGACTTTCGAATGTAATTTAAAGTTTGCTTTCGCTAAGGAAATACTTTTGAATCTGTGTTTGAAGCTTCGGATTAATTATATTCATTGTGCGATTCTAATCGCATGGATAGATTGATTCTGATCATTAATTACGACAATATTCTTTTCAATTTTCGTTATGCAATTCTAACTGTAAAATTAGGGATAAATAGGCAGGTCAGGTTGAACGTGATGATTTATGACTACAATATTCATTCCGCAATTCTAACCTCAAAATTACGAGAACATAAACTGATGGAATTAATGGTGGTCATTAATGGTCAATGAACTCTAGCAATGAACTCTAACGAATATAACTCTGACTCTAATAAATTTGGTTGATTTTTATGAGACTCGTAAAGGTATGTTATTTGTAGTTATTTAATTTCAGTCTCGCGGGTAATTACGGTCAGCCATTTTTTACTAAAATTATTTTCTCGTTTCTATATTCATCGACTACCGCATGTCGTTTAGAGTGATACGTTCAACCATGAAAAATTCACTGTGATTCCAGTAATGATCGCTAATGCCTACGTTGCGTTCACCGCGTCCTTATTTTATTTTTGCCTTTCCAGGTGACCCGTTTGCTGACGTTGCAATCTTAAATTGCACAATTGTGAAATCACCGGCAAACGCATCTCTGTGAATTAAGGAACATCGTGACTTTCGCCGCACACGGAAAAGTCAATGGAACATGTGAAAAAAGTTACGAAACGATGATGAGGAATGACAAATGTGGACGAATCATTCGGAAAATTGATTCGTTCTAACTCCGTTTATATAAGAGGTTGACACTTTCGTTGTAAACAACGTATTTAGACGTTGAGGAAGACTTTTTAATCGGGAAAAGTGCAAACAGGAAATTTAATAATTTGTATAAAACATTAAATCAAGGTTCATATGTGAAAGATAAAATTTTCAAACGTAAGAGATTGTCTCTTAAATACTAATCTAAATAATAATTATTACAATAAATATTACTTCTACAATCACAATTAAAACTTAAAACTTAAATTATTAAGTAATTTGTCAGTTTCAGTTTAATATAAAATAAGCACGGTGTGAACATCAGAAATTTGCTTGAATGAATTTTTGGATCATCGTCAGACGACTGATGAAAATTAATCGAACAAATTAGTTCCCATGCTTTCTACGTTACGTACAAAATAACGATTACTATTAAGAATCTTACTCACGGGATAGGTACAGAAAAAGGCGGAATTCTACCGGGTTCCCACGAGGCTCGTTAATTCAAAACCTGGCCAGAACGAGAATGAACCACGCACGGGTACCCGTGACAATCGGTAAATTCAAAGATGAGAATGAATATCTAACTTTCCCTCCTTTTTTCTTTCAGTGAATTAATTAGTTCTTCAAGTTCTCTCATGGTACGGTGGAATTGCATAATTGCTAATTAGGCATGCAAATCTGGGGCCTCCAATTTCCTGCGTTCGCCATGAAATTTTAATTATAGGTTCATCTCTGAATACGCTGCTTGAGAGATTTTGTTGGATTAGAACAAAAAGATGTGCAGAGACGTGCAAAAATTAAAACCTTGTTAGAAGTTTTGGGACATGTTAGGAATATTAGGACTCAATGTTAGGTCTCAGTTTAAAGATCTAACATTAGGTTTCAATTTTAAGATCTAACATTAGGTTTCAATTTTAAGATCTAACATTAAGTTTCAATTTTAAGATCCAACATTAAGTTTCAATTTTGAGATCTAACATTAAGTTTCAATTTTAAGATCTAACATTAGATTTCAATTTTAAGATCTAACATTAAGTTTCAATTTTAAGATCCAACATTAAGTTTCAATTTTAAGATCTAACATTAGGTTTCAATTTTAAGATCTAACATTAGGTTCCATTATAAAATTGCATCTCACTTCAATATTTAATTTAATATCAAAAAGTGGACAAGTAGCAAAATAAAATTTATAATAAAATCTAAAAATAAATTTCGTTCCTTTGAAAAATATTTCCTGATATTGTTATGCAATTGACTACAACGATTGAAGGATTAAACCGAGTTATCGACGAAATATCGTCGCAAACGTTCGTAGGAAGCGATTTTACTGATATTCTTGACGTATGTATTCATATGTCATAAGGGAAGCTTTGGCGCCTGTGCGAATGCGTCCACTCTTATGTTGTGTCTGAGCTTTGCCAACGGATCTACGGCTTCTGTCGCCATTCCACCCACGACTCGTTTCGATGTTCGAGCTATGCGAACTTTTTTCCAAGCTACGTGCAGTTAAAACTTCGATACTTTGCATTATCCGGCCGATAAATCACGTTCAATTGAGTACCTACAGTATATGTTAATGCAACTTTCATTTGTGTCTTTTGTATGTGGAGATATGGAAGTATGGGAATATCAAATTTTGGGGGATGCAGATGTAGGGATATAGGGATATGGGAACGTAGGGATATGGGGACATAGGGATATGGGGACATAGGGATATAGGGGTATAGGGATATGGGGACGTAGGGATATAGGGGGATAGGGATATAGGGGGATAGAGATATGGGGACGTAGAGATATGGGGACGTAGAGATATAGGGATGGAGGTATATGGGGACATGGGAGTACTGTAACGCGGGGATATAGGAACATAGGAATATGGGGACGTAGGAGTACCATAGCGTGGGGATATGGGGACGTAGGAGTACCATAGAGTGGGGATATGGGGACGTAGGAGTACCATAGCGTGGGGATATGGGGACGTAGGAGTACCATAGCGTAGGGATACGGGGACGTAGGAATATCGAAATATAAGAATAGGGGGACGTAGGACTACTGTAGCGTGGGGATATAGGGACGTAGGAGTACCGTAGCGTGGG